GCTTGGCCTGCTGTGTTCATCCAGCTCTACACCGTGTTATCTCAGATTTGTGTCCCTCGTTGTCCGTATGTAGTGAGACCAGTGAGACTTCACCGTGTCTCTTGATGGCTAGTTGGTGTTCATGTACCCATATTATCAGCTTTCTTCCAGTTTGGCCTATGCAGTGTTTCTCACAGTCCTAGCATGGTATTTTGTATGTTACCACTGTTTTGCTGGTTTTGGGTATGGGATCCTTTACGTTCATCAGTAGTTGTCGTAGGGTGGTTGTCGGTTTGTGGGCTACTCTGATACCTAGGGGTCTGAGTAGAAAATTCAGAAAAAAAATTGACAATGCAGATACATGAACACCAACTAGCCACCAAGAGATAAAAAAGAATAGACTTACGGTTTTGCAGAGCTTTGGAGAACCTTGTGATACTCCAAAGCATTTTACTACCAAATAAGTAGCTATGAAATGAATCTGAAACCTTTAGAGTGGGTCCTGAAACCATGACCTTCTGATTTAGAGGTATGTGTGCTACCAACTGAGCCAAGGCTGCACCAAACCAGATCTACTTCCTTTTTGCAGAAATGCTAATCTGTGACCCTCTCTGTACATTCAAGGAGATATTAAAAACTTCTGGAGCACTAATGAAGAAGAGGCAGAAGTCCTGCCAGTGTTCTGATTAATACATATCCCTTGATTGTCATCATTCATATAGATGATCTGTTTATTTGGCTGTTTCGGTTTATGGAATCTTTCTGTGTCCAAGACCGTACCACTCCACCACCCCGCCCCAACAGCAGTTACCTCAAATGCTATAAATCAATTTTTGAAATCTTGGTGTTGTAAAATATGTTGTCTAAATGGAAGTTTTAAAATTGTTTCTTTCCTTTAATCTGAATAATTTTGACTTCATGTGTTTGAATTAAGTTTATTATTTATTATGATCTTGCACTTTATCTAGATTTTCTTCCCTGCTTCCTATTGCAAAGAGTCACCACCTTGCTGTAGCTCTCATGCATTGCTTTGAGCTCAGATTTAAAGCTTCTATTTAGAGTTTTGGTTAATTATTTGATGATGAAGGTCATCTCAACTTAGCCTGATCTGATCTTGTTCATCATTGCAAGGACCACTGATTAACAATGAGAAATGAGGTTCCTGGTGGAGTTTAGTTTTCCTCCCCTAACCCATGAAATTTGGACCTTACAGAAATCATACATCTCTCTGGCTGAGATCAGCCAATTTGGTTTATGAAGGGAATCAAACGTTGACTACAATAGAGTGTCTTGTCCAAGTGCTGTCTTGTTTATTATGTATCGTTTGAGAGTTATTCATGAACAGATAGAAATGACTATTTTTAGATTTACCCATTTGTAAACTTGACACTGGTGGGTTACGTTGGGCATTCTGCTTAATCAGGTGAACCGCTTCTCCCTCAAAGAGATGCAGTCGATCAGGATACACCTTTAGTAGGAAATGCTGGTGCTGTATCATGTCAGAATTCCCAGGTTCAATCCTTGATGTGGGTCAGCCACTCTCCAGCAGTGCTCTGAGCTACCCAGTTGGGTATTGGTCGGTGACTGATTGGTTATGGTGAGAGTGAGTCAGGGACCTAGTTTTCAACCAGGTCAGTCAGAATCCCCACTCCTGATGGCTGCTTAGCAACTCCAGCAGATTGCTAGTGTGTGGATGCAAGAACAGGCATGGAGTTGCTCTCTGATGAGTCGTCTCCTGGCATTCACTGTTCATCAAGTCTGAGAGGAACAGAGGGAGGATGTCAGCACAAAATAATGTTGAAGGGCCTTTCAAGTTGTGGCATACTTGAGTATCCCCTGTGAGTAAGAAGGCAATGCTATGTTGTACAATTAACTCAACCTCTGAACCAAAGATGATGCAGGACAAACCAGATCTCAGGGTAAGAAGGGAAGATAACTAATTCCATAAATTACGGAAAATGCATTCAATGCTTTCTATTACTTGTAGGAAGAGGCAGCATCCTGCTAAAGATTAGAAATTCCTTCCCACCCACACTACTTGTTCAATAGTCTGGGAGCCAGTAACCTTCAGTAGTTTCCTTTAAAACCTCGATATAATCTGTGGGGTTTGCTGTTCTGAAATTATTGACTCGTAGAGTGTAATTCCAGCTGAATCAGATTCTTGGTGGGTTGGGATTCTTGTGGGAATTGACTCTTGGTGTGTTTGGATTCCAGTGGGTATAGACTTCTAGTGAGTTGGGATTCTAGTAAGTATGGCTAACCATATGATTTGTTTTAAACACTGACAGTAGCTTCCAGATGCTATTTGCCAATAGAATATTCAGATTCATGTTGATGTACTGAATTATTCATACACCACAGTTAATTTGTAATCATTACTTTATTGATTTCAGCGGCAGTACCTTGGACTCCGCAATGTCAATGATGACAGATTTGTCAGGAGCCAGAATGGAGACTCCAGCACAAAGCAAACCCATTGGCACACGGGGTCACATCAGTCTAGATGTCGATTCTGAGAAAAATGGTGCTTCCAGTCAGTCATCACGTGTTGCAGAAGAGGCAGGGAATCTCCAAATGGTGCCGTCACAGGGCTCCTTTCCTTGTACCCACTTCGTTCCTTCAAGGGCAGCCATGGATAGCCAGGAACAACCCATGCATAAGGAGCTCCTGCTGCCCCCGTCTGCATTCCTGTTACCTGGGAAAGAGAAGGTGAATGTAAGACTGTTACTCACCTCTGTGTTGTTTTTGTGAATCGCCTTTTCTTTCTGGAAATACTGATTCTTGTGGTTTATCCCAATTAATATGGCACCCACTTGACGTCTCATCTTGGTGCATACGCCATCTATGTAAACTTGAGAACTATATCTCAGTTTATCCACTTCTGTATTCTCTAGCTTCCTCACACTGCTGAAGTGTGAAATACTGGTTTGAGTGTTGGAACAGAACCTATTGCTTCAGTTTAGTGGCATAGCAGCTCATCATGTAGGGACAATAATGAACATAAACCCACATCTCACCAACATGTGATTTGTATAGAAATCCTTTGTGGTCAGGGTAGTTTATATGAGTGTGTGTTTAGCTGTTAATGGAGCACCTTTGTTGTTTTATCTCCATGAACTAGGAGTATTTATACGAGAAACTGAGAACGTACAATAGCCTGAGGTCATCTTCTATAAAGTACGCAACAAGTTTTAAAGTTTTAAAACTTCTATTGTAATAAATACATTAAAAGTAACACTAAATACTATAGAGTCAGTGGCTTGTACTCTATCTGCAGAGAGGTGATCCCCATTTAGCTATGAACATGACTGGAAATTTCCCACTACTGTTATTCTTTACACTGCCCCTTAATTGGAGAAGCCAGTCTCAGGGGCTTACTTCCTTTTCCTTTCCCAGCTGGGTCACATCCAATCCCAGAACAGTGAGGGTTACACTGGAGATTCCTTCCTTCTAATCCCAGCAAGGTAAATCTTTAAATTCTCATAAATTCTCTCTTGAATTTGAACTCAAGTTCCTATCTGCACAGTGAGCAATATTTCCTTTGCTTCAGGTATAGGACTTGCTGTCTCTGCCTCCTCCTTTTCTGTCTTTTAGATAGCTGCACACAGACTTGTGCCTGCGAAGTTCACTGATAGGTTAGGAAAGTTGCAACCTAAAACTATAGTGACTGTCTATTGACTATTCCTTTCAAAGTCCAGCACCATGACAACATGGGCCATATTTCCAGGTAGAAATGCTAATTTGCTACCTTCTAAACCCCAACAAAAATGTTCCATCTTGCAATTAAACCACAGTTTGAAGTGTAACCATTTCTAACATATCCTCTGTGAGATCTGAAGACTAACAGTCTACCCTTCTGTCACTATAGTCTTAACAGCAATGATTGAGGTTCAAAAATCATTGTATGGGAAGTATCTTGGAATGAGCTCAGTGTTTGTTGCCATGTAAATGGACATTCTCTCTTTGAATTGGAAGTTGCTGAATCAGAGAACTGGGAGGTGTGAAGCAGTTGTTCCCAGCTGGGGTACAGTGAAGGCAACTGGCTCCAATATGCCTGGTATAGAGGAGGGTTGACATGCCAGGGTACCTTCCCATTTCCCCTGTTTAGTTCTCTGCCTGGAAATATTAAGGGTGACTTTGGACAGCAGGATTAAGTGATGGAATTTGGTTTGGCTCTGTAATCAAGGCTGGCACGTGACATAATAGAGATAAATAGGTATCCTTGGAACTGTACCTCCGTAAGTAATTGGCATTTTAAGGATAAAGAAAATTGTGGGAAAAACACAAATCTGACCTCCATTGTCCTATAGGTAGTTCTTTGCTTCTGCCAGTTAATGATTTCTGTAGGAGCAGCCCAGGGCTTCATGATTCCATAGCTTTTCTCTTTTACACACTGACAATGAGTTTTATTATACCTGGGAGAGGGTCTCTTGAAGCAAATTATTCTCAAATACACTTAGTGTCAGCATTCAAAGTGGTTCTAATTCTATTAGCCAGCAATAGTTTCCAGGAAAGTCAAAGGTCAACCTGACATGCTGGAAATTCAATCGATGAAGAATCACTATCGGAGTTCTGAATATTGAGGGAGTCTGAGTAATATCCTTATCAAAATTCTAGGTTAGTCACAGCTCTTCAAGTATAATGAATTGTGAAGCATTTTGGGATATATCTGAAAGAAATAATGAGACGGCTGTTTTATGTGTGAATTCTTTTTTGTTTTGTGGGAGCTAGAAGGGAAGTGGATCTCCCTGAATGTTCCTCCTTCATTTGTTTTAGACAAACGAGAAGCATGACAGGCACAGTCACTTTGTTGATGCTGAGCATGTTCACAAGGACAAGAAAGGTTTGAGTCAACAATCACTCACACATCCACAGCTGCTCTCTCCAGATGATTTTAGGGTCAGACCAGGATGTTGCAGTTTGGTTTCTCAGGACACAGGTAAATGGATAACTACCAGGAATATTTTTAATGAATAAAATTTGTTGATTTTTGCATTTAATTAATAATTACTGAAGGCAATGTTTAAAATAAGCTGATATTCATTCAATATAATGTCAACGTGACATCTCTATGTTGCTCCAGCCAAAGTACATTTTTCTGAAGACGGGTCTAGGCCCGAAACGTCAGCCTTCCTGCTCCTCTGATGCTGCTTGGCCTGCTGTGTTCATCCAGCTCTACACCTTGTTATCTCTACATCACATGTCAGTTTGACTCTGTGGTAACTCTCCCTTCTCTGAGTTACTAGGTCATGATTTCACTCCAGGAAATGTGCACCATATCTGGACCTACGTTCTAGTTCAGTAATGGACCATAAGATGTAGGAGCAGAAATAGGCTTGCAGTCCATCTGGTCTGCATCACCATTCATTGACTTCGTGGCTTGTCTGATAATCCCCAACTCCATTTTCTTGCCTTTTTCCCATATCCCTTGATTCCCTTACTGATTAAAAATCTGTCTATCCCAGTCTTGACTATACTTAATGGCCCAGCCTCAACAGCCCTGTGTGGTAAAGAGTTCCATAGATTCACTGTCCTCTGAGAGAAGAAATCTCATCTTAAATACGTGACTCCTTACTTTGAAATTATGCCCTCTAGTCCTAGACTCTCCCACAAGGAGAAACAACTTTTCCACATCTGGTCAGACAGCATCCGTCAGACAGGCTTTTGGCCTGAAACGTTGACTTACCTGCTCCTCGGATGCTGTCTGACCTGCTGTGCTTAAGAAGCATAATGAATTATGCAGATTCTGAAAGTGATGTAATGGCAATCTAAAATTAGACTCTCAGATTTATTTGGTCGACATAATTCTAATTCTCACACTCTGCTTTAGCGAAATTAGTGTTGCTGGAAGCCGTAACAGAGCTGGACCATATGCATCATCATTTATCTGTAACATCACAAACACATTTCTGTGTGCCCTCTAAATATGGGGTTTCATGGAAGCAATTAGGTTAATCTTTGTGGAGCAGAAAGCGCAACATAGACTATATACCCCATTGTGTAGGTTGTGTGATTTTTTTTGCAGCAGTGTTTTGAATATTTTCCATAAAGATTGGAGTATTTTTTTTGAGAGAGAAAACCCCACCTTTGCTTTAAGAGCTACCTGTGATTACTTTTCATTTAACTACACTCTCCCCTTTGTCCCAAGATTCAGATAATGATTCTGATGGATATAACCAACAATGCCAGCTGGAGGCAGAACTACAAGGGATACGTCAGGAGATGCAGCTTTTCCATGACAACAAACAGAACCTGAGGTATGTTCTTGGGTGACCAGTCTGTGTTTGGCTTTTATTATCACTGGAGCAGTTCAGGGCAAAGCAGTATAATTCTCTTCTGAAGGATTCCGGTTTCCTGACATTCCTGAGAGCTCAGATACAGCTGTAAGTGTTGTTAATAGTGACTGGAAGAATCCGATGTGTTTGTTCCTCAGTTTGAAGTCTTCTGTTAGTTAAAGCTATGCAGCTGGGTTTTGGCCCCAATCCAAATCCAGGCTTGTTTGAGGTTGAGCTAAGGCACAATAAGACATATAAACAAACAAAAAAAAAAATTAGAAAGTGATTTTATAGAATCAAGGAACGGTTACAGCATAGAGGGGGCTTTTTGACCCATTGAGCCTATGTTACCTAATCGGAGGAGCAATTCACCTAGTCCAGCTCCTCTTTCTTTCCCCTAAGCTTTGCAGATCTTTTCTTTACAGATGATAACCCATTTCCTTTTGCAAGCTTCCATTGACTCTGCCTCCTATCAAATGGTGGAGCAGGCTCAAGGAGCTGAATGTCCTACTCCTGTTCCTATTTCTTCTGATCTTATGGCCTCCACCTTGCTCTCAGGCAGCACGTTCCAGATCCCAACCACTCACTGCATGAAAGTGTTTTTCCTCCTGTTGCCATTAGTTTTTTTTTTAACCAATTACCATAAAAGCATCTGCTCATGTTCTCGATTATTCCCCTATTGGAACATTGTTTCCTTATCCACTCTATCTAGACCACTTATGAATTTTGAGTATGTCTGTCAAATCTCCCCTCAACCTTTACTTCTCCAAGCAGAACAGTCTCAATTTCTCTAATCATTGTGCAAATCTGAAGTTTTGCCTCCCTGGAACCATTCCCATGAAGCTTTGCTATTATCCCTCTAATGCCTGATGAAGCTCTTTACCCTAAAGCTCTAGTTCACCCACTCCAGAGATCGCAACACAAAAATCTAGGTCGACTCGCCAGAGGTACTGCCTATCAAGTGAGACATTAAACCAAAGCCCCATCGGCCGTATAATATGAAAGTACAAAATCTCATAGTGCTATTTTGAAGAACAGTAAAAGTATCTCTGGTGTCTTGGCCAATATTTATCACTCAGTTAACATAGTAAATGTTGACTTAAATAAAGAGGGAGAAATTAGAAAATGAGAGAAAACTAGCAAGAAATATAAAAATGGTGTAAAGTATACACAGAGGAAAAGAACTACAAAAGTAAATCTTGGTCCCTAAGAGGGTGAGTCTGGAGAATTAAAGGGAAACAGGAAATGACAGATACTCTGAACAAGTGTTTTGTCTTCACTATAGAAGACACAAGAAATGCCCAAAGTGTGGTAGAAAATCAAGAAGCAGAAGAAAGGTAGGAATTTCACCAAGATCACTTGAGAAGAAGGACAAGAAAACTAATGGGACTAAAGGCAGACAATTCCCCTCTACCTGAAGGACAATGTAGTGGGGCTTTAAAAGAAGTGGCCTGCAGAGATGGCGAACGCATTGCTTGTAACTGTCCAAAATTCATTGTTTGGAAAACCACAAATGTAGCATCACCATTCACGAAAGACAAATAATCGGGAAACTATAGGCCAGTTAGCCTGACACTGTTGGGGCAAATGCATGAATTTATTGTTGAGGCATTAGTATTAGGACCTTTTTTAAACAAAACGTCATACTCCAAAAAGCACAGTCAGCATGGTTTTGTGAAAAGATAATGGTAAATTTATTAGAGTTCTTTGAGGTAGCATGAAATGATTCGATATGGGCAAATCAGCATGGCCAATCCACCTAACCTACACATCTTTGGACTGTGGGAGGAAACGAGAGCACCCAGAGGAAACTCATGCAGATAAGGGGAAAATGTGCAAACTCCATTCAGTTGCCCCAAGGTGGAATCAAACCCGACTCTCTGGCACTGTGAGGCAGCATTGCTAACCACCGTGCTGCCCAATCTAGAAACAAGGACATTGATTTTTTAAAAAATGATCGCATATGTAAGGCAATGTTTAGCAGGAATCTCTGCTCTGAGTCATTGGTGTTTTTGAATTTTCTTCTACAGAGAGCATGGCGATTGGGCCATTGAATAGATTCAAGGCTGAAATAGACAGATTTTTGATCTACAAGGGAGTTGAGAGTTATAGTTGGGCACACAGCAAAATTGAAGTTAAGGCCAAAATTAGATCAGCTGTGATCTCATCAAATGGTAGAGTAGGCTTGAGTGGCCTCCTCCTGTTCCTAATTCTTGTGATCTTTCAGTTTGTAGCGTTCTATTTCTGCTACAGGGATATACTTCAGGTTCTTGTGGTTCATCCTTGTTTCTTTCAAAGCTTGTATTTTTTTGACAACAGAATGTTGTTGGATCTATTAGGTTCAGTCAAGATGGCAGGTCGACAGATAGCCGTATAGTCAGCAAAGAGTTTAGCGTTTAACTTCGTCTGGAGAATTTCAAATCCAAAACTTTTAAGGAAGGTTGATTTGCTTATGAGGACTGAATGGGTATTTTGGCTACAGTTATCTTCAGATTAGATATTGAGCATCTACTATTGGATTTTTAGTCAGTATTTCTGTAAAGCCACATATCACTGACCTGGTTCTACCAAATAAGCTTATATTTGAATCATGTTTGTGTTTTCTGTCCTCCGATCATTCCAGTACTCCTGAGTGATCAGTTAGAAGACCCAGGTGTAGAGGTGAACTGCAAATATTGAGGTCCATAACGTGGTGTGTTGGAGGGAGCACTGCACATTCACCAGTCCCAACTCTGCTTCCTCATTTCCGTTTATACATGTTCAGATTATATTGGGTTGAATGGATTCTTCCATTATTACAGTTTATTTGTAGACCCTTTCTGAAATCGTCAGAGTCTGGTAAATAGAGGTGATGTCATTCTACATCTAAGTACCCTCCCAGGAGTAAAATTATATTTTAAAAAACACTGTGTATTGTTTTTTTTTTTGAAGATCCTGGCAGAAACAGGCCTCTGTACTCCGAAACTGGCTGCAAGTCAATGCCGCACACAATGGGGAGGATGTGCTGGAGATCAGACAGGAATTACGACAGGTAAATATGTAGAAGTATAACAGATTCACAAGCATTGAACAGGCTGGGACGATCACTGTTGCATAGTTTGACAAATCTTTTAAACTTGCATTATTCAAGAAGTACTAACATAATCCACCACTAATACTGTAACTTTAGCAGAGTAAAGTTTAAAAAAGTAATCTAATTAATGTCTATGATTTAAACCAATCTTTTTTCATCATATCTCCCACTCATTCACAGAGACAGTTAAGCGATAAATTGAAGAGAAAATAAAAGCATTGTAACTGACCAATTTATTAAGTAGTTTTGGTTGCTAAACCCTCATGCAATCCTTGGATAATGAGTTGTTCACAGGCACATAGGATTGTATATCTTGCTTGAATTTCGAAGTCAACGGTCAATACAAACAGCTTTCACAGACCACTGGAGACTTTCATGTTTTGCAGACTGTTTTCTTTTCTCTGAACTTTCAATAATTCGATAACTGGAGGATAACTAGAGAACAATGAAAACTCCAGTGTGCTTTCACACGCACACTGCCCTCTGCCCAAAATCCAGTCCAAACCAGTTCAATATTTGGTTTCTCTTTCTTTATTTTCAATATTCTCTTTGTTTGAGTAGTTGGTACCAACCTCCCTTTGATTATCTCCTTTTGACACACAAGCAGCAGTCAGTCCTTGAGAATAATTCATCCCAGGTGCTGAAACATCTGTATTGTTCTTAGAATAATAACCAACCTGCAGTTAATTTTCCAGGTCAATTCTTAAACAAATAGCAGTTTGTTTGTTCTTTCCTTTTTGTTTTAAAAAAAAATAAGCTCCTACTCAAATTCCAAGCTTCAACTCTCAACTTCATCTCAAAGGTCCAAACCAAAAACGAGCAAGATAAAGAAGAACAGTGATGTTTTCCATGGGTGGCAAAAACAGGGAGGCACATTATTATCAGAATGGCAATAGATTGGGAAATTGGGGTGGGGTTTGCAACAATCACCAGATTGTACACCAGACATACAATGTCTACAGTGTGGAAGCAGGCCATTTGGCCCAGCAAGTCCACATCGACCCTCTGAAAATATCTCACCCAGACCTAGCCCCCTTACCCTATCCCTGTAATCCTGTATTTCCTATGGCTAATCCATCTAACCTACACATCCATGGTCACTACGGGCAATTTAGCATGGCCAATCCACCTAGCCTGCACATCTTTGGACTGTGGGAGGAAATTGGAGCACCCGGAGGAAACCCACACAGACACGGGGAGAAAGTGCAAACTCCACATGGACAGTTGCCTGAGGGTGGAGCCAAACCGTGTCCCTAGCGCTGTGCGGCAGCAGTGTTATCCACTGAGCCATCATGCCAGCCCTGGAAGTAAGTATGCAGATACAATCAGTAAAGAAGGCAAATGTAATGTTGCCTTCATTGCAAGAGGATTCAAGTATAAGAGCAGTGATGTCTTGCTGCAAATGTACAGTCCAACCGGGTCGATGGGTGGAAGCATGTTTTCCCTTGCCGGAAGTATAAAACCAAAGATTATAGTGTTGGAGTAGAAGGTGGGCCCTTTAGAACTGAGATAAGAAGGAATGTCCTCACTTAGAAGGTGATAATTCTTTGGAATTCTTTCCCCCTGAGAACTGTGGAGATTCAGCCACTGAGTATGGTCAAGACTGAGATTGACAATAAATATATCAAAGGACACGGGGATGGTGCAGGACAAATGGCTTTGAGTCGAAGATCAGCCATAAGCAAGCTTGAGTGGCCAAATCACTTGTCCTATTTCTTATTTTCCAATGTCTCTGACATGAATAAATTTTAATTCTTTCATGGGTTGAGGGCGTCACTGGCAAGATCAGCATTTGTTGCCCATCTCTAACTGTCCTTGAACTGGGTGGCTTGACAGACCAGGTAAGGACAGCAGATTTCGTTCCCTGAAGGACATTTGTGAACCAGATGGTTTTGGCACAACAATCGATGATAGTTATCATGGCCACCACCACTGAGATTCATTTCAGTTTTCAGATTTTATTAAATGAATTTAAATTCCACCCAATGGCATGGTTAGATTTGAACTCATCTCCAGAGAACAGCAGTCTGGGCCTCCGTGACATTGCCATCACAATATCACCTATCCAAATCATCAGCTAATAATTAACAAATTGATAAAACATATTTCCCAATCCTGGATTAACTCTGGGAGAGGCTGAACGTGGAGTGAATTATTTAACCAGCCTCAGATTAAAACTGACAAGTGGAAAGCTGAACATCCAAAGGAAATGCTGAGTGACCTACTGCATCAAGAGTGCAACATCATCGCGGTTTCAGCAAGGAGTTATATCGTGTGCAATCACGAACCTCTTTCCCAGGTGTCAAACGTCTTTCCATACATTGGCAGGATTTTGTCTCAGAGCTTTGGGGCTGTGGAGTGTGTGACATGCTAAACCATTACGAGTCCATTATAAAATATGTTAATAGCAGAGCAGTTGGTAAACAGTGACAGGATAGGACAGAATCAGCATGAATTTACAAAAGGGAAATCATAGAAATATAGAAAATAGGAGGAGTAGGCCATTCGGCCCTTTGAACATGTCCTGATATTCAATATGATCACAGCTGACCATTCTTTTCACTACCCTGTTCCCGCTTTTCCCCATGCACTTCGATTCCTTTAGCCCTAAGAACTGTATCTAACTTCTTGAAAACATTCAATGTTTTGGAATCAACTGCTTTCTATCATAGAGGATTTCACAGGCTCCCCATACTCTGGGTGAAAAGTTTATCCTCACCCAAGTCTTCGAATGCCTACCTTCGTATTCTTAAACTGTGACCCCTGGTTCTGGACTCTGTGGTCTCATCGGGAATATCCTTCCTGCATTTACCCTATCTAGTCCTTTTAAGAGTTTTATAGGTTTGCAAAAGATGTCCCCTCATTTTTCTAAACGCCATTGGAGCTCAGTTAGCTCAGATGGTTAGAGGCTGGTTTGCGATGCACTGTGACACCAACAGTGCAGTTCAATTCCTGAACCAGCTGAGCTTACCATGAAAGACTTTGAGTTTTTTGAAGGGGTGACCAAGAAAGTAGATAAGGGCAGTGCGGTAGACATTGTCTACATGGACTTTAGCAAGACCTTTGAGAAAGTACCGCATGGTAGGTTGTTGAGTAAGGTTAAATCTCATGGTATCCAGGGAGAGCTAGCCAATTGGTTACAAAATTGGCTTGACTATAAAAGACAGAGGGTGGTGGTAGGGGGTTGTTTGTCAGACTGGAGGCCTGTGACCAGCAGTGTGCCACAGGAATCGGTGCTGGGTCCACTGTTGTACGTCATTTGTATAAATGATTTGGGTACGAATTTAGGAGATATGGTTAGTAAGTTTGCGGATGACACCAAGATTGGTGGTGTAGTGGACAGTGAAGATGGTTATCTGGGAATGCATCAAGATCTTGATCAACTGGGCCAATGGGCTGAGGAATGGCAGATGGAGTTTAATTTAGATAATTGCAAGGTATTGTATTTTGATAAGGCATACCAAGGCAGGACTTACACAGTCAATGGTAAGCCCCTGGGGAGTGTTATTGAGAAAAAAAATCTAGAAGTACAGGTTCATAGCTCCTTGAAAGTGCTTCAATGAGATCACTTCTCAGTCTTCTAATCTCTGGAGAATATGGGCCCAGTCTCCTCAATCCCTCTCCAAAGAACAATCCCTCTGGTCCAGAGATCGGTCTAATGAATCTTCCTTGCACTCTTTCTATGGCAAATATATCCTTGGGTAAGGAGATCAAAAATGCATTTAGCACTCAAGGTGCAGTCTTCACAAGGCTCTGTATAACTGCAGCATGGCTACCTTACTCCTGTACTTAAATTGTCTCGTAAAGGTCAGTATACCATTGCTCTTCCTAATTACTTGCATCCTCATGCTAACCTTTAGTGGCTTTTGAACAAGAGCACCCAACTCCCTTTGGATATTAACACTTCCCAGTCTCTCCCTATTTAGGAAATACTTTGCGCCTCTGTTTTTCCTACCATGATTTTCCACTGCATTGTGGCCTTTTGACTTCAGGCATTTGCACTTGATGAGGCAATACTTGCATGTTAATGTAAGAACTAGATGTGGGTAACTTGGTACTGAAAGATTGAATAAACTGTTACAGCTCCTGGTATATACATATATTATAGACATGGGCACTTCAGTATGTGGGCTAATACGAAGTGTCATGCTTCAAGCAGCCCCAGATAAGATGAAACCTGAGATCTTTATACCCTCAGGTCACATACAATGATGATAGCATATTAAGTGAAACATTATGCATCCTCCTTAAGTATTCCAAACAGATATAGATGGTTGTACATAGCCATGTGATGTAAGGTCTGCTTTTACCTGTTTGTATAATTTTCGATTCAAACTTCAATTTGCTTTGACATTAATTCATTGTATACCTGTTTGGAATGGTACGTGTTATGCCCCTTTACCTTGTTTGCCAACTTGGTTGTCTTCTTGTTGGTTGCTGTCACTCATTAACATTGAACAAACAGCATTGTCAGTTTGTTTCTTCACTGTTCATGATTGATATGTTGTTCATTAAACTGCACTGGCTCCTCCATCGTTCAGAATATAGCACCATAGGTCCAGCATTTATTGCCCGTCCCCAGTTGCCTTCAAGAAGATGTGGCGAGCTGCCTTCTTGAACCCCTGCAGACCATGTGCTACAAGTGGACCCCTAGTATTGTTATGAAGGGAATTCTGGTATTGCCTGTGTAGGATATGGGCTGTTTGTACATCCTGGAAACGTTTGATAGTATCCAAATATTAATGATTGGATTTCTGACTTGCATTTTGCTTTGTGCATAGTTTGGGTAGTTTCTATTTCATCATTCGCTGTGTGCCTCTTTCATTTTCCTCTGTCTTTGAAAAAGAATGTCCTGCATCTCAGAATGATTAGTCAACTGGTTGCTGGTCGAGGTTGTTTGCTTTGCCTTCCAGCAATAACTTGTGCTGGAGATAGTAGTCTCTTCTCTATTAATGCACAGTGCAAATCTTGTTTTGTTACTCAACACTTGTTGATCATTGATTTGATAGAACATACCATTCGTTCTCCTAGACTGAGCAAGGACAGTGGAGTGACGTAGCCTATACCAATAAACTGCAATCTGTGTTAGAACCTATCCAATCCCCATAAGCCAAACGTACTGAAAATAACAGTCAGTTCTCAGCGACGGTTATACTGTCTGCATTGCCAAGTCATTGAATAATTGTGAGTATTTTGAATCATATTGAGACCTTTCCAGCAAAAATGGGACTTGAACCTATATGGGGAAGTAACCTGCCACTAGGATGTAATCATCCCCACTACGATGAATGGATCTGTTGCTACTTTTATCCAAGGAGTCGGTGGAATGTGATCATGTGAATGTAGCATCTCCCTCTGCTGCCGGGGCTGATACATTTGGCATGCCCCACACAAGAGACAAATCATTGGCTGTCCTGATTCATCCCTGGCCAGTATACAGGTCCATGTTCCAGCTTTCAATAGTCATCTATCCCTCATCTAACATGGCCATGATATCCTGGCATATGGCTGAAAATGAGTTGTCATAATATATCCATTTCATCCCCGTACAGCCAAAATGAACAAACGCTCTCAGGTACTTCTTTAGTGCTGTCAGGTCATGTTGGATAATGACCTTTTGCAACTCCTGTAGTTGCTTACCTTTGGCAGTTAACAATTGAAACTGTCCGTGCTGGTTCTGGCCGATGTGTAACAGATAAACCTTTAAAACATCATCTTCAACCTCAGCTAATTCAATTGAGTCACCTCTGGTCTGTTCCATCACAGTGGGTGTGGTTTGAATCTTGTAAATTGTTACTGTGTGGAGATCTATGCATATGGGCATCCTGCCACTGCTGGACTATTGGTAATCTACCAAGTAGAAACTTTTGGAAAGACAAGTTGAGATTGTGTATTGGCATTGCAGTGAGATTGGGCCAGTGCATGGAATTAGTGATTAGTTGCATATGTCAGGTGATCTCATGTAGGCTGTACAATGGGTGTCACTTGCTAGGGTACATTGTGATAGTACGTTGGCACTAGCTCCTGTGTCAATTTTAGCTTTGAGGCTGTATTGGGTTCTACCGTTTCAGGACATGTGATGTTTATGGTTGTAAGACCTACATTGATCACCCCATACTGTCGACATGGAATGTAAGGTTTATGCTGAGAAAAGTTTGGTTGCTTTCCAAAATTGACTTTTTACTCTGTTGACTGTATGCTTCATCGATGTATTTGGGTTGTGCACATTCTTATGACATACCTTGCTGTGTACCACTTTGTTTGTCACCTGTATTTTGTTCTGGGCTCTGGCTTGACCTTTGGAACCAGATTTTCTGAACGTGTGCGCCCAATGCCACTTGGTTCTCCATACTTTGCAGTTGTGAAGGAATGCTGGACAGTTTTTGATAGCTTTTGAATAGGTGCAGCAAATTGTACCTATGACTGATTGATTGATTTTGGTGGCTTAGTGCACTTTTCTGACCATAGCAAGTGTTAGTTGCCCCTATAACATGTCATTGATAGTGACCTACCACTATGTCTTCCCACTTGCGACATCACTCATGTTATGCAGTAATGGTACGGCCTTTCTCTTGCCCGGAATCTCCTCTCGAAAGATGAAGATAAATAAGGTGTAGAGGCAATGCCCAATTCAGTTATCCTCATAATTGTTATTTGGAGAAATCATATCCTGCCCTTTTCAGCATCTTGCAGCAAACTGGTTAATAAACCATTGGGAGTTTCTGTCTGTGAGACGTATGGTGGAGTCACTTGTACCTGGACAATATCTTAGATAACATCTCATCTCGCTCCACTTGTGGGTTGCCCATTGTCACCCTCAGAAAAGTTGGGGCAGAAATTTAGCAGTGGCTCGTCCCACTTGCTACACAATTACAGTTGCATTTTAAAGTGCCATTGACATGTGTGGGAGGCACATGTGATTCTCTGGTGGAGGGGGCGGGTGTGTTTTGTTGGTGTAAGTTTCTGGCAATTAACAAGATTGCAGCTATGAAAAGCTGTCCTGGTCAAAGAAAGAAGCTTCACGTTAAGGTTGCAACATTCCTGACCATAAAGACTGATTGAAAGCATAACACTGGCTCATGTTTTTCAAAATTAATATGCACTTGTAAATACTTCAACTTATAGGTATATTGGTTTCATTTTATTCACTTATGAATCTTCGTTATTTGTCGAGACTAACTTTGAGACCTAAATGTACTGGCGTGCCTCACAGTTGGCACGTACTGATGCTTACTGGGTCTTCAGGACACTTATTTAATCACGCATGTGGATGACAACATTTATTGCCCTTCCCTACTTGCCCCAGAGGAGGTTATGGTGAGCTGCCTAATTAAACTGCTGCAACCCATGTCCGTTAGGGAGGGAATTCCCAGGATTTTGACCCAGTGACGCTGAAGAAACAGTGGTATATTTCCAAGTCAGGATGGTAAGTAGCTTAAAGGGGAACTTGCAGGTGGTGGTCTTTCCACGTATCTGCTGCCCTTGTCCTTATGGATGGAAGTGGTTGTGGATTTGGAAAATGCTGCTTAAGGATCTTTAGTAATTTCTGCAGTACATCTTGTAGATAATACACATTGCTGCTACTGAGCTGTGGTGGTGGAGGAACTGAATGTTTGGATGTGGTGCCAATCAAGCATCCTCGATGGTTTTAAGCTTCTTAAATGTTGTTGGAGCTGCCCATGTCCAGGTAAGTGAGTATTCCATCACACTCCTGACTTTACCCTGGAGGCTCTGAGGCATCATGAGTTATTCATTGCAGGATTCTGACTCTATGACCTGTTCTTGTACTGCAATATTTATATGATTAATCTAATTCAGTTTCTGATCAATGGAAGCTCCCAGGATGTTAATAGTGGGGGGGATTCAGTGACGGTAATGCCATGGAAGTCAAGGAGTGGTAGTTAGATTATCAGCAAACAGTCCCTCCATCATAGGGTCAGGATGGGAATGTCATTGATGAAGATGGTTGGGCGTAAGACACCTAAAGAACTCCTGCAGAAATGACCTCCAACCAACCACAACCATCTTCCAACCAGCAGACAGCTTTCCCATTAATTTCCATTGACTTCAGTTTTGCTCAGGCTCCTTAATGCCACACTTGGTCAGATATGGCCTTGATGTCAAGGGCCGTCACTCTCACCTCATCTCTGGAATTCAGCTCTTCCGTCCATGTTTGGACCAAGGCTGTAATGAGGTCAGAAGCTGAGTGGCCCTGGTGCAACCCTCACTGAGCAGGTTATTGACATCTTCTATTGATGATTGAGAGTAAAGTGATGGGTCAGTAATTGGCACAGTGATACTGCCACACAACACGATGGAGGGTATTCTCAATGTAAAGTTGGGACTGTGCGTTGGTCACTGTCTAACTGAGACTGTCATGGACAAAGACATCTGCGGCTGGCAGATTGGAGAGGATGAGATTAAGTATGTTTCTTCCCCAAAATATTTATTTTTAGTTCCCTCTTTATTGAATGTGCATGTTAATGTACAGTGTTATACTTGCCACTCTGTGGGTTACAGCTGAACTTATAGGCCAAGCTGGACCTCCTGTCTCTCACTGGGGATAATGGAGATGATACAGGTGAATTCAAATGTCCTGGAAGGACTCTGCCAGGCAACACCCACATTTGGCAGACCAACAACGATCTTTAGGCACCTGGTTTTATCTTACCTTTACATGCGCACACTTCCTTCACAATCAAAGTGTTTTAATACACTCTGTCAACTATTAAACTGCTTTATCATTGCTGATCTAGATCTCCCTAGGAGAATGCAGCAATGGATGAAGGAACACAATGGGTCTGGATGTCCTGTCTTTGGAAGCTATTGGCCTACCCACAATTAGTCAATATTCCTGATTACTAAATCAGATCCTACTCTCCAGTATTTGTGACACTTCCTGCCTTTATCTATTTGACAAATGGTTGCTTTGGTAGATCCAAGTTGCTGGCCTGGGTTTCTGGATCCTAACTAAGGGTCTCCCTTTGTCATTTGGTATCTTGGTGTGTAGATGCTGAATGGGGAAATAGACTCCTTTAATGTAGGATTTTGTAATCAGATGATTTGTGTCATGCCATAAAATCATGTTCTCTCCTACATGTACTTAATGTCTTGTAAGTTGTGGTATGCTTTTAGAATTGTATGATTTTGGTAGGTAACATTGACATGTCAGGAATGAACTGGAACTATACCATGTACAAATGATGCAGATGGAGATACCACCTGAAATCATAAGTAAAAATAGCATGCCATCTGTGATTTCTTCTGAATTCAAGGCAACAATAACCTCAGCAAGGTTGAGAATGACAGCCTACACGTTTACTCATTTCTATATTAGCAGCACTGCTGTGTGTGTCAGGCAGAGTTTTATTTTAAATCTGTTATCCTAGAAAACAATGACTATATTTGGTATTTTGGTGATGTTTGTATGTCTAGCTAGTGAAAGTTACAAGGATTGCAGCCCCCAGAGGGTTTGAACCCTCTCTTCCTCTATATCTGGGTTCCCTAGTTGATGCTCTTTCCTTACATTGGTTTGCTGGAAGAAATGACGTGCAGAAATTCACCACTGCCTGGTCTAACACAGTTACAGCAAGCAAAGCTGGTGTAATATTGTGCTTTGCTTTGACACCATCTGTAGAACTACGAACAGCCACAACACTATTTAAAGTATTGAAAAGTGTTTATGCTGATTTTGCAGTTGATGGGACTAACAAGCTCTGTTTATTCTTTGGTTTTTTTTTAGCTGGAGACTGATATTGAAAAGCTTTCAAAGAAGCTGAGCAAGGACAAGCCTTACATAGAGGGCCAAGTTGCAAGGGTTCAGGAGATCCGGAAGATCCTGACTCTGATAGAACGGTAATCCTTCACTTTGGAGTTTGCTATCTGTGATAAGTGTTTTGCCAAGGCAGAAGATCTCAGCCATACTAACTCTACTTCAGCCCTTAAAAGGGAAACAGGCTTAGAGTTTGAGGCACATGTTCCGAACAGAGTCATAGAAACAAATTCAGAATTTGCTTCCAACAGTCTTTACACAATATGGTGAAGAGCAAGCAGCAGTAATGCTTACTGAATTTTATTGATTTAATATCAAACTGGTTCTTCCATTCTACAGTTACAATTAACTGTCTTTAATCATGTAAATGCATTCCAGAATAAAGATTATTGAAGCTTTAAGAATGTCACCTGAATACAAGATGAAGTTTAAACTATTTCTCAAACAGATCATAGGAAGAGAAGGCGGTGATTGGCCTTTTTATTTCTCATCTATACTAGTCACACTGCTTGCCTGCTATTCAGGAAATAGAAAACTTGGTCACCAAATCTCTGAGGTCTTTAGTCCTTGTTATACTCCAATCATAGATTGATTCCATTCCCTCTACTTTACTTTACTGACAGCTCCAAGGAAAGTGCAGATTTTGGATGACCTTAGGTTCCTCACCTTAGTTAAAATTTACCTGTAACCTCACTCCCTCCAATCTCCTTCAGCCCCATAACCACCTTTAACTATTACTTGCGTCAGAACAAACTACTTTATACAGCAACAGTTCTATGTAAAATAAATATCATCACAGCATCCTCCACCTGCCAACTCACTTAACCCAAAAACTCCTCACAGCTTACATTCCATCATTAAGTTCATAGTTTATTTTCTCCTTTCAGTCTGGACTTGTTGGGCTGAAGGGATTCTAAGATCACATTGAGTTCAGGTGTGATTTCAGATCAGATGTGTGGGACTGACTATGTGCAAGTTTTAAAACAAACCCGAAGGAAATCTGAACAATTCTTGTGAAACACTAGAATTTTATTGTATTCATTGGTCACGGTGGCAGCTTTCACTCTTCCACAGGGAAATCAAACTGCAGTGAATATTAAACACTGTTTAAACCAGGTATTCTTGAAGCAACCACACAAAAGAAAAAGACGACAAAAATACAATGACTGGCACAATTAAATTTAAAAAAAAAAAAAAGCTTGTTCCTCATGATTATCTGCAGTTAAGTGATGATCCTTCTCCCTCATACATACATTCACACACTCACACAACCAGAGAAAATCAGGAACGTGGTCTCAAATTCCAAAAAGACATTTCAGAGAGCTTGCTATGGCTACAGCTTCAGGGCTTCAACAGATAAATAGACAAAAACCCTCAGAACACAGCGTGGGATCAGAGAAAGCCAGAACTTAACACATCTTGTTCTCACTTATGGACATGGTAATGCTTTGCTGTGGAACAAAGTGCCCAACGAAGTTAGCAACAAAATAAGAATTTACCTATGTTCTCTACCATCCTCCTGCAAAGGCACCTCCCTCAGAGCTTGAGTACAAGATATGCATTAAAAGTAATGGACAGAATGGGAGATAAAATTTCTTCAACTGTTCCATTACATAGACATAATTACAGAATCAGTGAACTTGGAGAAAATATAAACTCATTTGCATCATTCAGATATTCTCAGACCCCAGACAGCAGCCAGTTCTACACAGTATTCAGTGACTTGTTTTACATCTTGCACCAGACTTTATTTTCCATTTCCTCACTTGTGAATCAGTATTAGAGTTAAAAGCTGAAACCAAAATGTAGTAACCCAAGAACTAGCACTTCACCCCTCAGTTCTAGAAAAACACACCACATCGATCAAAAAAAAACAGATGAGCTGCATTAAGTTTTGGTATAGTCATTAAATTTATTTTCTCTGAGATGTAATTTGATGAGAAACTGCATTGATTTTTTTTAGTATATAAAAATACTGCAATAACTACAAGTTAGAATGACCCACTGGTTCAGCTGCATGGAGTTATTCAGCAAATACTCGAGCATCCCCAGTTCCTGCACAAGTTGATCGGAATCCCCTGCCACTGCCAAAGAGACCAGGGCCCTCAAACTCAGCCCATCTTTCAAAGTCCCATTAATCCTGGTCACCTGCCAGGTTCTCCCCTTGCACGGAGAGATTACGGCACTGCATACGCTCTGAAAGTTCTATTGAGTTGGGTCGGTACACCTTTCAGGAGAATCCATTATGGTAGAGCTGGTCCCTCAGATGGAGGCAATGAGAGATGCTTCTGCAGTAATGATGAGAGGAGGAGGAGCGAGAATTAAAACCGCATTTCAGTTATGGCCATTTTTCACCATTCTTTAGTCCAACCTCACTCCTCAGTGCTCCAATCCAATTTGAGATGTCATCGATGGGAATTGTATTATATGGAGCCCAGGGCCTCACCAAACCTGATCTTCTGTCCAGGTTTAAGGTTAAAGGTAAAGTCTTTTGGTGCCTCGAAGATGAGAACGATGGTGGAGCCCAGGTTAAACTCTCCGAGGTGCTCGCCCTTCCTCATGTTAATCCCTTTGTTGTTGTTTGCGGCAAAACTGAAGTCATTGTAAGAGCCCTTCATGTAGCGGGGACTGTTGGTATGCAGGTCCTTCACAAGATAAATGAGACAGTGAACATTCTCTTCTCCAGCAATCCTTAATAGTGTGTGACAACCAAACATTAATAAATACTGCATTTTCATCCCAGTCCCAAATCTACTTCAGTCTACAACAGTGTCTCCCAAACTTTGTCCCAGTGATCCAATTTCCACATGTGAAAATTGCCTTGATTGCTCATCAAAAATGGGAAGGCGAGGAATGCTGTGGGGGACGAGGCCAGGCGGGAGGCAAAGTGTCAAATTTTAAAGCAATTTTAACAAGCTACCTTTTTATTGCTTTGTTTGAGAACAGGCCTCAAAAGGTCAAGTCAGTAAAGTTACACCCACCATTAAAACAACATATGGATTTAAAAGATTTAGACAATACCTCAGGGCTTTTTACACTTGGTCTGAGTTCCCCAACAGCAATGACTGTCTCTGAGCTCATGTCCCACAGATTTACCCTGTGGCCTTGGAGAAGGGTAGAGGGGCCCTCAGTTTAGAAAGCCCTGGCCGAGGCAGTAAGCCGTGACCAGTCACTATTCTCCAGAATTTTACAGCAGAGCTCAAGAGAGGCTCAACACGAGAGCCTAAAGCAGCCACAGTGGGTCAGCAGATCACACAAGGTGCCCAATTTTCCTTCCACTAAAAATGTACTCCCTCACCTCCAACTTCTGCTTTCTGCAATTACCCATCCCCTACTCCTCAGATTTGATTTCCAGGATGAACAGATCTGCCCATGGAAAAGTGCTGACTAAATACAAACTAAACACACAACTGTCCGAGTGAACAAATAGGGGGAATGAATTAGGAACAATGTAAACAAATAGGCAAAGAGATGGTATCGAGGACTCAGCTGAAATAGGTAAGCAATACTAGAATAGCACGACAAACTAATTCTCTAATTCATTACAATATTAAATGAACATTTTCACAAGCCAACAATAACAATCAATAAGGTCTTATCAAACTTCTGAAGCTGGTAATAACAAGAACAGGAACCCTGCATGTCATAAAGATTATGATAACACAGTGTGATGTGGATGAACACAGCAGGCCAGGCAGCATCAGAGGAGCAGGAAAGCTGACGTTTTGGCTCGGGACCCTTCTTCAGAAATGGGGGAGGGGAAGGGATGGTGATAGCAGATAGATAGTGGAGCGGTAGGTGGGAGAGAAGATGGACAGGGATGGTGGAGGGGGGGGGGGGAGGAGGCTGGTCTTGGGATGAAGTGGGGGGTGGGGAAATTTTGAAGCTAGTAAAGTCCACATTGAGACCATCGGGTTGTAGGCTCCCACGGCAGAATATGAATGCTGCTCCTCCAGTTTCCGGATGGTCTAGTTGTGACAGTGGAGGCGGGCCAGGATGGACATGTCGTCCAGGGAGTGGGAGGGAGAGTTGAAGTGGTTCGTGACTGGGAGGTGTTGTCGTTTGTCGGGAACTAAGTGTAGCTGTTCCACAAAGCCAAGCCTCCGCTTGGTCTCCTTGATGTAGAGGAGGCCACATTGGGAACAGCGGATACAACAGACCACATTAGTGGACGTGCATGTGAACATCTGTTTAATGTGGAAGGTTTTCTTGGGGCCTGGGATGGAGGTGAGAGGGGAGGTGTAAGGGGAGGTGTAGGGGCAGGTGTAGCACTTCCTGCGGTTGCAGGGAAAGGTGCCGGGGGTGGTGGGGCTAGTGGAGCAGACGAGGGAGTCACGGAGAGCGCGGTCCCTCCGGAAGGCAGATAGGGTTGGGGAGGGAAATATATCCTTTGTAGTGGGGTCAGATTGCAGGTGGTGGAAGTGGCAGAGAATGATGTGTTGAATCCAGAGGTTAATGGGGTCATACGTGAGGACAAGGGGAATTCTGTCTTTGTTTTTATTCCGGGGAGGGTGAGGCGTTGGAAATGCAAGAGATGCGGTTGAGGGCGTTTTTCAAACTAAAACGAGCTATTGAATAGATGAGCTGCAGTGGGTGCATTAACTGTACTGGAGTAATGAGTTAAGTGGCTCATTGTTTCTTTAGGCTGAGGAGTGACCTTATAGAGGTTTATAAAATCATGAGGGGCACGGATATGGTAAATAAATAAGGCTTTTTCCCCAGTGTGGGCAAGTCTAAAACTAGAGGGCTATAGGCTAAGGTGCGAGGGGAAAAGGTTTAAAAGGGACCTAAGAGGCAACATTTTCACGGAGGGTGGAATGTATATGGAATGAGCTGCCAGAGGAAGTGGTGGAGGCTGGTACAATTACAACATTTAAAAGGCATCTGGATGGGTACATGAATAGGAAGGGTTTAGTGGGATATGGGCCAAATGGGACTAGATTTATTTAGAATAACTGGTCAGCATGGATGAGTTGGACCAAAGAGTCGGTTTCCACACCGTATATCTCTATGACTCTAAGTAGTTTCTCTGACAACATTAGTGATGAATATTTCATTACTAAACCACAGAAGCAGAAAGCCCCAAGTTTATTAAGACATTCATTGTGTCAAAGTCATAATTACTGCACAGAAATTGCTGGAAAAATTCAGCAGGTCTGGCATCTATGGAGAGAAAGCAGATTTAACATTTCAGGTCCAATGAAGTTCTGAAGAAGGGTCACTAGACCCGAAAAGTTAACTCTGCTTTCTCTCCGTAGATGCTGCCAGGCCTGCTGAGTTTTTCCAGCAATTTCTGTCTTTGTTTCTAATTTCCAGCATCTGCAGTTCTTTGGGTTTTTTTTCATAATTTATGGGACTCATTTAATATACTAATCTCCTCTGTCCAAACCAATATTTCAGGAAATGAAGACAGAGTGATTTGGTCTGACTGGGGCAGTGTAAGCTACTGTATAGTTCCAGTGATTCCCTAGTGATCAGGTTAAGCAGAAGCTCAAAACTTCAATGAAGTTGTGCAGAGAAGGAGCAAGTGGGAGACAGTGGTCAGGGAGCTAATGGTTACTCCCACAGGACCAGAAATACTTGCTCATTTCAATTTAATTGATACCATACACTTTAGAAAGTCTTTGTTGCAAGAATGATATGAAAATGAATTTCCCAATGTATAGAGCATTAATTTATATCTATAAATGGGCCAAGGGGTTTTAAACCTGCTTGACCTTACTCTCTCCTGAACACGCATACATTATTAATCTCTTCATGTACATCAGTTTTCCCCTCACCATCAGACCAGTTCTTAATTTAAAGTGCTTCCCAATTATTTAAGTGCAACTCTAATTATGAGAATGCACCCACAGCAGCAGCTGTACAGTGTGTGCAGTACCATGCAGAAAATCCCAGACTGCGATAGATCACAAGCGCTATAGCCTTCCTTTCCTCCATATATCTGCTGTACTTACACTGTCAAAATAAATGCGAATCGATCCAACGTTTGTGGCACCGACAGCAGTGAGTGAGAAGAAGCCGTGTATCCACTCTCCAGCCAGGACCACACGTTCATTGTGGCAGAACAGCTCCTTAATCCAACGAGCTACACCAGGATTAACTGACATAAGGGAGCCTGAGTACACACAAGGGGACACATCAGAACAATCCTCTCACGTACAAACTGCAGATACTAAAGGACCTTTTCGCTGTCATCTTAAATATATAAGCATTGCTTTAGCTTTGGCATAACTTACAACATGACAATTCACTGACAGCCAATCATACAACAACCATGTTACTGATGCACCACCATCAGTCCCTTTCAACTGGGGCTGATAAGAAATGGCTGGCAAATTAGAATATGCAATATTAGCATTAATATTCAATGAAATAACACATTGAAATAACACCGGAGGCCAGTTGGTGCCATCATATTCTTCCTGTTTTCCCCACAGACTGTAAACTTCTTCCTTTTTTAAGTATTCTTTTAATTTCCTTTGGCCAGTTATAATTGAATCTTCTATCCTTTCAGGCGGTACGTTTCCGATCATAACTTGCTACATTAAAAGTTTTGAATCACCCCTCTGGTTCTTTTCCCAGTGTTTGTAAAGCTGTTACTAACCCTCTCATCAGTAAGAAACAGTACTTTATTTATTTTCACCAATTAAACCACTCAGTTTGAACACCCCTATGAAATTGCCCCCCCAGAACAGTCACAGCTTCTCCGCTCTTTTCACACAACCACATACCACTAAACCTGCTGTCATTCCCAAACTAAAATGCTCCACAATATTTCCTGGGTTTTGGGATGACCAAGAGAAGATCAGGAGATATTTTTAGCCCAGTGTCTCTCCTCCTTTCGCTGTGCCAGATTTAGATACAGAATCTGGTAAGCGAGCTGATGCCTTGTGAGCCGACGATCAGCTGCAGCAGCTCCATGAATCCTATTTAAAGATTATGTAATAAAAAGCACCCTGCAGACTGCTGTGAACCTGCACAGAAATTTATTGCTGCAGCTTTCTGACTTTGCATAACATTGAGTGAAGTGGCCCATGCGATTTCATCAACTTCGAGAAAGGAACAATCTTTGGATGCTGCATTCATACCAGGATGGGTTTGGGAACACCTGGAGAGTTTATTTCCATCAGACAGTGGTTACCTGCCACAGTGCAATGCTGAGCTCAGCTGAGGGACCTCTGATTTATAACAGGTCCCACAACAATGGAGGTGGCTCTCCAAAAAATCTTCAGAAGGCTCCAATTTTCCTCATCAACAAGACACGAGGGGCTGAAAGGCTACCCCTCTCTTGCATTCCACAAGCCTCTTCCTCATATTATCTTAGATAGATCCAGAATCCCATAACAGGTACAAGGTGTATGCAGGGAACTCAAAACTATTTACAAGTCAACCAGACTCCTACTGTGGAACCAAAAGGAGTAAGGAGACACAATGACATACAAAACTGACCACATTCAGTTCTGTCAGTGAATATCTCGAGTTTGATGTAAATTTCATAACACATTCAAATTTACAGTCTAAGGCAGACAAGAGCAAGTCAGAGAACAAGGTAACTCTGAAGAATTAAACTGCATTTATTTCAATGCAAGTAGTCTTACGGGTAAGGTTGATGAACTCAGGGTACGTATGGGAACGTGGGACTGGGATGTCATAGGAATTACAGAAACTTAGCTGAGGGATGGACAAGACTGGCAACTCAATGTTCCAAGTTTTAGGTGGTAGAAAGGGGGGCAAGAGAGGAGGGGAGCGGCACTTTTGATTAAGGAAAACATTACTACTTAATTAGAGAGGATATTTCTGAGGGATCGTCCAGTGGAACTATATGGTTACAAATTAGAAATAAGAAAGGGATGACCACCTTGATAGGATTGTCCTATAGGCCCCCCAATAGTCAGAGGAAAATTGTGGAGCAAATACGTAGAGAGAGATCTCAAATATATGTAAGAATAATAGGGTTGTAATAGTAAGGGATGTTAATTTTCCAACCATTAACTTGGACTGCCATTGTGTTAAAGGTTTCAATGGTGGGGAATTTGTTAAAAACATTCTGGAAGACATTTAATCAATATGTAAATATACCTACGAGCTAAACTTGACCTTGTCTTGAGAAATAAGGCAGGGCAAGTGACTGAAGTGTTAGCAGGGAAACACTTTGGGACTTGTGATCATTTTTCTATTAGTTTTAAAATAGTTATGGAAAAGAGTAAGCCTTCCATAAAAGTTAAAGTTCTTAATTAGAGTAAAGCAAATTTTAATGGTATGAAGCAAGAACTTTCAAAAGTCGATTAGAGTACACTGTTCTCAGGTAAAGGGACGACTGACAAGTGGGAGGCTTTCAAAAGTGTGATAATGAGAGTTGAGGCATTATGTTCCTTTAGAGTGAAGGCTAAGACTGGTAAGAGTAGGGAACAATGGATGAATAACGATATTGAGGTTCTAGTCAAGAATAAAAAAATCGTAAATTAGATATAGATGACTGGGATCAAATGAATTTCTTGAAGAGTATAAAGGTTGTAGGGGCATTCTTAAGAGGGAAATGACTGGGGCAAAGAGAGGATATGAGACAGCCTTGGCAGATTAGGTTAAGCATAATCCAAAGAGATTCTACCAGTACATTAAGAAAGTGAGTACTAGAGAGAGAACAGGGCCCCTTAAAGATCAATGAGATAATCTTTGTGTTGAACCTCAGGAGATAGGAGAGATACTAAATGAATATTTTATGTCAGTTTTTATTATGAAAAAGACACGGAGGCTCGAAAACTCAGGGAAATAAATATTGATATTTTGAAAACAGTTCACGTTACAGAAGAGGTGCTGGAGGTCTCAGAAAACAAAGATGGATAAATTTCTGGGACTTGATCGAGCCCAGGACATTGTGGGAAGTTAGGGAAAAAAAATTGTGGCGCCTCTAGCAGAAATATTTTTCTCATCTACAATCCCAGGTAAGGTGCTGGAGGACTGGAGGGTGGCTAAAGTTGTGCCTTTATTTAAGAAAGGCTGTAAGAAGCCTGGGAACTACAGGCCTGTGAGCCTGAGATCGGTGGTGGGTAAATTGTAGGAAGTGATTCTGAAAGATAGGATTGACAGGCATTTGAAGAGACAAGAACTGATTAGGGATAGTCAGCATGGCTTTGTGCATAGGAAATAGTGTCTCACAAACTTGACTGAATTTTTTAAGGAAGTAACAAAAAAGACCAATGAGGGCAGAGCAGCAGACGTTGTTTACTTGTACTTTAGCAAAGCCTTTGATAAGGTTCCGCATGGTAGACTAATTAATAAAGTTTGATCACATTGGATTCAGGATGAGCTTGCCAACTCAATACAAAATTGGCTGAACAGTAGGAGACAGAGGATGATGGTGGAGGGTTGCTTTTGGACTAGAGGCCTGTGATCAGTGGTGTTCCATAGGGATTGGTACTGGGTCCACTTTTGTCATTTGTAGAAATAATTTGATGAGACTATTGGAGGCATGGTTAGTAAGTTTGCAGATGACACAAATTAGTGGTATAGTGGACAGTGAAGAAGGTTATCTAAGATTGCAAAGAGATCTTGATCAATTGTGTCAATGGGCTGAGGAGTGGCAGATGGAGTTTAATTTGGATAAATGTGAGGTATTGCATTTTAGTAAATCAAACAAGGGCAGGACTTATACAATTAATGGTAGGGCCCTGGGAAGTGTTGTAGAACAGAGACCTAGGGGGTCAGGTACATAGTTCTTTGAAATTTGTCTCACAGGTAGAATGCAGTTCACAGTTAAGAATGCGTTTAGCACACTTGCCTTCATTGCTCAGACCACATGGTACAGGAGAGTTGGGCGTCATGCTGAGGTTGTACAGGACATTGGTGAGGTCTTTTCCAGAGTAGTGTACACAGTTCTGGTCACCCTTCTATAGGAAGGATATTATTAAATTGGAGAGAGTTCAGAAATATTTACCAGGATGTTGCAGAGAATAGAGGAGTTGAGGCATAAAAATAGACTAGAAAATCTGGGACTTTTTCCACTGGAACGTAGGAGGTTGAGGGATGACCTTATAGAAGTTTATAAAGTAATGAGAGGTATAGATAAAGGTGAATAGCAAAGGGACCTTTCCCTAGAGTGGGGGAGTTGAAAGCTACAGGGCATATTTTTAAAGTGAAAGAGGTAAGGACATGAGGGGCAACATTTTTAGACAGTGTATGGTTCATGTGTGGAATGAACTGTCAGAAGTAGTGGTGGATGTAGATAGTTACATTTAAAAGACATTTGGATAGGTACATGAATAGGAAAGGTTGAGAGGAGTATGGGCCAAGTGCAGGCAAGTGGGACTATTTTGGTTTGGGAACATGGTCAGCGTGGACAGGTTGGACTGATGGGCCAGTTTCCGTGCTGTATGATTCTATGACTATGGATTAAAACAGTCACATGGGAAGTATACATCGAGTGGATTAAAACTGGGATCTGTTTTTTGGCAAAAACTAGATTTCTGTTATTCAGACCTGGCCGTAGCTATTTAGGTTTAGCCCGGAAGCAGGACTGTGTAAACTTTGGGAACGTGCTTAAGACACTGAGTGACTAGAGTAGCCTATCGATCAGAAAAGACAGGATTCGAGGCTAGTGTCGGTGTTGCCATTAGTTAACTGGCTCATAGGCTATCATCAAATCCAGATCTCCAACATCAGTAAGACATTTCTTATCCCTTGCTGTTACCCAGCACCCATGCTAAAATCATGCCGTTTTAGAAAATGGAGAAGGACACAGAGGAGGAACCAGCTGAGCCAGGTACTGGCACAGTTATAGTTCCACAATATATAGTTGGTGCCATTCATAGCTGTGCAGAAAGAAAACTAGCAAAGGGGAGCCATCAACTTGGGTAAGAATACACAGGAGTTCCTGGTGCAGACTTATTAGCTCTAGATCTGGAACCAACAGCGGGAGAGGGTAGAAATTTTCTTTTAAGGAAATCTGACCTTTTACTTGGTAAACCAACATATATTCTGACTGCCCTTTTCTCTACGGGTAATAACATTAACAGCTACATGAATACATTGGCAAAGAAGCTGGATGATGGAAAAGTGGACTGAGGTTCAATCTCCTGGGTTATCTGCAGGTCAGCTGTTACAGGACAGACTCATCACTTAGCAGAAAGATCCATGGGGCAAAGCAACAGGACCTGGAGCAAGCTCACCTTTGGCAACATGCATTAGCTACATTCCTCTTACTGCCACCTTTAGAACTAGAGGATAGATTCCCTTTTATTTCTCTCAAAATATCTGGCTACTTACTTTTATTCACAGTTAGGACACATGATGCAGCAGTAAATTAAAAATTAAATCTGCTTTGTGGTCAAGCAAGGTGATGGGGAATGAAACACCTCTCTGTTGAGACATTCATTGTCAAGGATTTCTCGAGTCAGATAGAGCACAGCAGGATTCAAAGTAAAGATCCCACATCTCTGCCCCAACAATATACCTCGAGCCAGGAGGACAAAAAACCCACTCACTATACCAGTTTGACATATTTTGCTCTATATCCAAAATGAGTTTTTTAACTGCAGACATTTTAAAGATAGTCTGTCCTATAAGTATTTAGATAGAGCCTTTTACAGCTTGTAGCCCAGGCAAACTTTCAACTTGTCGGCCTGGCTGCAGTTTGAACCCTGGTTCCAAGAACGAAAGACTACAGATTAATCCAGGGCTCAGCTCAGAGCCATTAACTACCTCCTGCTGGAGACTCCCTCTGAACAAACAAGGGGCTTTATTCAATTAACAAGCAAACAGTAGAACACTCACCTGGAAAATGGCGCCTGTGCGCAACTCTCCAATCAGCAGGTGAATGGAAACAGTGATAGTCTCCTGGTGCCAAATAAATAACACAGTGGTAGAGATCATTGCCTTCCCTCGTCACCAGATGGTCCTGAAAACTTGACTCACTTTTATCTGCAGGATTACAGCAAATTGTGGATTTGAACAGGATTCTACTAATATTGATAATATTCACATTTGTATACCAGGTTCCATGTTAATCCTCACTGTAATAATACTACAGCTCAGTACTACATTGAGCTGCTTTGTAGAATCTATCCGGGAACATTACAAGTTTTTTCAGACGGCAGTTTGGAAAGAGTGACCAAACTTGGTGCTTTACTCATAAGCACTATTCTGAGGCTTGTATATCCCAACTGGACAGTTTGAAGGAAGGCCTCAAGACTCCTCAGAAATCTTCAAAGAATTATTGTTCGTCCTCCCCAGCCACATGATGGCCCTTAGAGACAGACTCTAAAAGCTCAGACTGAGCTCCACACCAGCTGGATCCAGTTACAATATGACCTTGGAGGATTTCCAATTTCCTCCAGCTAACCAATGGGAAGAGTAAATTTATTGTCTTCAAACTCACTGCAAACTCTGCCTCTTACCACAGACCTCTTTCCTCAGCACTGCATCAGGTTTAACCTAACTGTTCCAAATTCCAAATAAAATCCCTTGTCAAAACCATAATGGCCACACCTCATCATCTTCATTACCCTAATCTCCTGGCTTCTGATCCTTCGCACCACCCCCTCCCCACACCTCTTTCACCCCTCACCACCTTCTATTGCACTGTCCAAAACTCCACTTCTACTCAACATCACATCTCAACTTTCCCTGACGCCTCAACTCCATCTCTGTCGCCAAGCTTTGGCCAATCCTGGCTCCATTTGCAATTCCCACATTGTGGAAGGCCCTTGGAATTTCTTCAGCATCGAAGGCGATATCAAAATGCCAGAAGTTGTTGTTGGGTGCTTGCAGGAAACACTGACACTCTGCTGTTTCAGTGGCCCTGCACCAAATAGAATGAATGAGGAGAGCCAGTGAAAATATTCCCGGAACAAAATTAATCATGTTTTATTTTGTTTACTTTCTATAGTGCTCTCCTATACCCCAATTCTATCACACACCACCCTACAATCATTGACAGATGACGATAGATACCATATGGTTTTGGTAATTCAACTGAACCAATCCTGTCAACTTGCCCCGACAGTGACTCCCCAAACCTCCACACCCAGCTAAGAGCTCTCCCCATCCCATTGCAGAACATTATTTTGCTATATAAAGGGATTTAAAGGTATTATTTAGGGAGGGTGGCACACAGGGCTCCATTTACACAAACTTGAAGCAAACATTGGCCTTGCTCTGCAAACTGCATGAGTATTAACTGGGCTTTAGAAATGACCCAAGCCTGGGTTGAAGACATGAGCTTACTGTCGCTAATCTCCAGATTCTCTGACCAGGTCTGAGGGCCCAGGAAATTCTCCAGTGAGTAAGTCACACCCTTCACTTGCTCTACCTCACAATTCTTCACTCTTCCAAAATGCAAGATCTTTCCATCAGAAGGGCTAATCTGGAGAATGGGAAGAAAGGAGAATGATCATCAGTAGCCGAATCCCTCATGCTGCTAGGTCAGTTATGAGATGTAATCACTATGTATAGAATATTTAAATTGGGCAAACTTGTGACCATCACTCTGGGTGGAATAGCTGAGGTTTTAAAGAGTTTGGCTGATTATGGAGGCAATCCTGGGCTGGATCAAGTGCATTCACCAGTGACTCTTCTGCATTGGGTTATCAGAAAACGTTAGGAAAAGCATCGGAATTCAGAGTTCACAGCTAGCTCTAGGCACAGCTCCTCCAAAAGACACAGGTCTCATTAATTCTGCATCTAAAACTCACTTCAGAGAAACAGCACGGGTTTCCGCAGCCCAAAGTCACACGTGGACCAATGCTGAATTATTCTCAACACAATTTAAACAGAACAGACAGATAATAGAGCAGGGACAAAGAGGGCTGTTTTTAAACCCAAGTAACTTTTTTAAAAAACTGGGGCTAAAGTCTTCAGAGTTGTACTGCTATAGCTCAAAAGATTTGCAAAGTTCTTACCACACAGTGAGAGTCACTGACAGGGCGTGCCTGGGGTTTTAGCTTTCTGCGGAAGAATTCACTGAGATTTCTGTAATGTTGTAAATCTTCCACTGCTGCTTCCTTCATATTAACCCCAAACGTCCATATGTACAAATTATACACAGGCTTCCGCATCCAGGTAGGAAGTTCCACCTGATTCAGTCTACCCCACGCACGGGATAGCAACCGCGTGGGAATAGTTTTATACAGGCCAACCTGCAAGACAGTCAGAAGAACAACAGGTAAACGCTCACTACCAGCTGAGCTCAGAAGGCAGCAACAGGAACTGATTTTATACAATAAAACCCCATTGAATATCTCATGGGGATATAGTACAAGGCTGTTTTCCAGGACACAAGGTGAGGTCTAAAACACATATTTAAGAAAGCAGTCTGTTTGATGACCCACTAAAGGAATAATTTTATTCATAAATGTACATATGCTTTCCTTAGTTGTGATGTCAACTGGGATAGTCTCCCAGCTCTATTAAATCATTTTAAACATGAGAAATCGTTTCTAAATAATGAAGGCACAGGGATGTTTAAAATTAATTTAAACAAGTAAGGGTCAATTCAATCCAAACCTGTGAATATGTGTTTCACACCAATTCATTTGTAGGTGCAGCAAGTTTCACACTGCAATCTCCCACCGAGGTAGCTGGAGCTGTCTGCTGCTTTAGGAACGCAGAGATGTGGATCATGTCTGTTTTACTGAAAAAAACACAACTGTAGCTGCTGGAAATCAAAAGAATGTTGCAACTGCTGGAAATACCCACCTTGTCAGCGAGTGCTTGCGGCCAAACAGACAATTACTATGACACAATGTAAGAGCAGATTACTGCAGATGCTGGAATCTGTACTGAAAAAAAATGCTAGACATCACAGCGGGTCAAGCAGCATCCGTGGAGAGACAGCAAGCTAACACTGAATCTAGATGACTCTTCATCAGAGTCTCTTCTACAGAACCTCTTCTAACCTACCTAGCCTGCACATCTAAAATCTTCAGAATTGTACCTCCCTGGATGCTAAATGACCCACTGAACTGTTGTAGAGTTTCAACTTTTGTCAAAAACCTCACATTTAGAAAAGCAACTTTAACTCAACAAAACATCTCAAGGTGCTTTACAAACTGAACACCAAGCCATGCAGAGATGATAGGACAACTGACCTAAACATGGTCAAAATGTTAGACTTTAACGACTGTCTTGGAGGAGGAGAGAGGTAGAGCAGGGAATTCAGGGAATTAAACTTAATAGAGATAAACAACATCATTGTTGGCCATGAGGCATTTAAAAATTGAAGTTTTGAGCAGTGGATTGAGAGAAGGGGAGGGAGACAGTGCAGTGTCCAACCAGAGTTATAACAGGGAGGAGCTGGAGATGTGGGACAGACCGGGTTAACAGTAGAGGACTGGGAAGACAAGAAGCCACAAGAAATTCTCTATGACTATACAGAAAGAAATTAATCAAGAGGACAGTCCCACAAAATGGAATGGGGATGTTTCAACAAAGACTGCAGATAGGATGAGCCGGAACAGTTTCTCACAACCTATGACTCTGATAACAGCCACGTTGGTACTGCACTGGGGCCCAGAAACCTGACTGGAAGGATTCAACAAGGAGGGCTAGGAAAGATGGGCATGCACTTGGGAAGTGACGTTATATTCAAGAACTTTAGAGGGAAGGGAGGCTGGAGATCACAGTGCTTGAAGTGCAGTGAGGATGGCTGCATTCCTGGCTGATGCCCCCAAAAACTGGATCACACAGACTGGAGGTTGTGGGCTTTCTGAAGGTTCAAAAAGCTGAAACTCTCAAAGCCTAAACGTCTCCATGCTGGTTAGTTACATTTTGCGCTCACCAGTTCGCCCCATTTGATATTTGTGGTCTACATTTTCAATACTGTTGCCTTATTAATGGATTAATTCTAAATCAGAATGTTAAGCTGCATTAGAATAGGGCTCCATGCTACATGCTGGAGGAAGAGAGTAAGTTCAAACGGCACTGCCCCTAAATGGTACATTACTATCTCCTCTCCAACCTCAGTCCCATCCTCCTCCTCATCAAACAGTAGATGGCTCGCTCTCCCTGAAAAATCCACCAGTTACTAGTTTCTGAGTCAGTATGTCAGTGAGTGCCCCAATGTGGGATCACCCTGGGAACCACCAGTCCAAAAACAGTATGTGTCTAAATGGTATGTAAAAATGCTGTTTCTGTATCTGCAAAAGGTGTTACAGAAGGTTCATTATGCTAAATGACAGTCAAAAGGAATCCTTCAGGCCATCTCTTGCAGATGCAATTCCTGAGTTGATAATTTACCTCCGTTTGTAATAGCCCTGTTTGCAGCTGCCTCCTCCTGTTACACAGCATCAGAATATAATCCCAAACAAGGAGCAGTCACATAAGTGCCAGCAACTGCACCCCACCATGCAAGTGTAGTCCAAAGCACATATATCCATCCTGATGTCAAATCCATTTATTCTCTTTCCAACAAAACCAATCTAAAGCTTACAGTTTTGACCTCAATCTCTAATGCCAGAAGAGAATTCCACAACTCTCAATTCCATTTTCTCTAAACCACCAGCATTAATTTTCTAAATATTGCCCCCTGAATACAGACTAACTTCCTACTGCCATCCAACCTATTTGGCATCAGATTGTCCATATCCTGCACTGGAATTGATGGAGATCAGTGTTTTGACTGGGGCTGAGTATCATGCTTTATTCATTAAAAGAGCCTTTATTTATTCTGATGTGTTTCTGTTTCCGAGTTTCGAGGTTTACACCCAGACACCTCAAAGTCAGCCACAATGTTCCAGATAGAGTTAAGGTGGTATACGTCACAGCCCATAGTGAACAGGGTGGGCATTTCATGCGACTCAGACTGAAACAGCATCAGGAAATTATATGAAAACATGCAGCATGGACCTGAAACTGAATAGATAAAACAGTTGCAGCAGAGCACCAGTGGCTAACATGGAAACATTAACGAGCTCAGACCGTGATCCTGACATTTTACCAACACTTTACTTCTGAAAAACTTTAATAGGATGAAGAAACTGTGCCGCACGCAGAGCAGAAAATCACAAACATTTGTTGGGGGTGTCGACACATAACATGTGCCCATTGATTGGAGATTAGAGAACCAAAAGAGTGAGGCCTGGCAGTCAAAGCAGAGAACAAGGAGTAAAATGACAGCATAAGATTATCACTTTCCAAAAACAATGAGCCATTCTCAACAGGTGGTCTCATCCCTGGACACCACCCTCCCCACACTAACTCCAACTGAATGTGAGCGCTTCCCTGAGGAATTCAGACTCAGAGTGCAACAGGGCTTCGTTCTTTTTCACTAGCAGGAGACAGCATTACTAATCCCACAGGGAAAATAATACTCAGACAGTGTTTTGCTCATTAAGAAAGCAGGAAGCTAATGGGGAAATTTTTAAACCAAGTCCTAAGTCTTTAACTTTGAATTATTTGTAACTTAAGAGATGGAAAGGTCTGAAAGCACTTTATACTGGCGTCAACCGATTGCACTCCTATAGAGGAGACATTGGGAGATGTAGATAAAAAGCTTGGTCAGTAAGGTGTGGTTTAAAACAAGTTCTTAAAGTTGGACAGCAGTCCGAAGGAGGAAATTTGAGGGCTTTCTTGCCTTATGACTGAATTAGTGGGCTTTGTACATTAAACAATAAATCTACCCGCCTCAAATTCTTAGCCTTCCTTGTTCCACTGGCTGGGGATTAGGGGCAGCGCACATTACATTTCTGGTCTACTATCGCAACACAAATGTTAACACACCCAGATCTTCCAAAAAGATCATTAGCACCATGGTAAGCCATGCTTCAAGTCACAGAAGTAGATGGAAACCAACATTCTGTTTAGCATTCTAGTGCAGCTTTATGCTCTTTAGCGCTGACAGTGGGAATTGTACGCCTGAGCTGAGCTTAGCCAAGCCAAGAATGCGGCACTGGCACACAGTCAGCATCGTCATACCTGCACAAAACAACAGTTCAGCACTGCACTGCCCAGCTCTTTTATGAAGAGAAAATGGTCCGATCATTTATCTAAACCTAGCCACAGCTCCAAGCCAATGGTTTCGCTTCCTTTGTTTTGGCATTTAACGCATATGTGACCATCGATTTACGAGCAGAAACAAACTGAATAATGGATCTTAATGAGCAAAACATTTCCCCTCGAGAGATTAGCAATGCTATCGCCTACTAGTAGATGGAAGCCCTGTCTCACTCTTTGAGCCTGAATATCTAAGGGGACCACTCAGACGGAATTAGTACGGAGACGATGGCTCTCACACACAGCCTCCACATCAATCAGGGATTACTGTCCAGGAACTGGCCAACTTGCTGGGAATGGAGCTGTCATTTCAGGTTGCTGCTTGAACTGTCACACTTTAATAGTCATTTGAACAATGCACTTGCTGAAAATCAATCCAGGTTTAAGTTCCACTCAGCTGCAAATTCCCAATATGGTAACAGATCCGTACATCAATACTGACTGACCAAGTTAGTGTAAATGAATGATACTAACTATAAACAACAAATTACATTTGTATAGCATTTTTAACAGGTAACAAGCTCCCTGCGCTTCACAGAAGCATATCCAGACAATCACTGGCACTCAGTCACACACAGGGAGGTTAGGACAGAAGTCGGTGATAAGGGATGACTTAAAGGAGGAAAAAAAAATGGAGCGGTTTGAGGCAGTACCAAAGTCAGCTAATGATACAGCTACCAATGGTGAAGTGTCGAGGGACTGAATAAAGCTGGAGTTTGGTGATGGGGAGATACAGAATACTGTAAACACACACACACACAAACATATACACTCACACTTCAATCACATTTTAAAGTGCTGCTATGTAATTACTAACAATGTGCTACATAACATAAGCAAAGCAGTCAATGTTTATTTTTAAATCCCAGTCCATCTTAAATAGGAGAATACACTGCAAGTTAAACACTAAAACTCTGAATGCTGGAATTCACACACTCCCTTACCACAAATGCAAACCCAGAAATCCCACACACTTACCCTGCTTGTTGGTCGCCATCCTACTTTAGTAAGAGGCTTAAGGACACTAAATGGCAGGAAGAAATAGAGAAAAGACAGAGGCCAGGTGCGGAGCTTGAGTGCAGGCTTGGACATACAGCTCAGCTGGCCTAGCCTGCGTCGCAAAGCCAGCTGGGGAAAATGTAACCTGTGGAATTGTACATATACAGCTGGTCAGGCAACAAAACAGCCCCATCATAACATGACACCCCTAAAAAAAAGAAATCACTTCAGAAACAAAACCACTCTGCTCAGAGCTTGATGTTAGCTGGCCTGAACGGTTAGAGACACACACATATCCATCACTTGGTTATTTACCAAATTTCCTTTTATATCCTCTTATCCCCATGAGGCTTCCAAAAGGGACCCACATGTGCAATTTTTAAAAATTGCAAGGAGATAGTGCCAGGATTAAGAGTGACAACTGAATTTTGTTTGTATTTAAAAACAGTGAGATTTGAGAGACCTCCATTTATTCAGTCCCTCTCTTCAAAACCCTGGAGGTGGACAAACATGTACATCAGCATTACGGTCAGACTGCAGCACTGACACCATGAAAAGGGTTCTTAGTTTTTAGGTTTAAAGTCCATTTCATTTCTGTAGTGCTGTCACTAGAACAGTCATCGCTTGACGTAATTTGACCCTGGCACTGCATTCACTTGCACCATCCCTATCAATATAATGAAGTCTCAAAGGCAGGACATAAGGTCCAGGGTGGGATTCCAAGGGTTTTGTCCCATCACACCACTTCATGCTGCTAAAATGCTGGACTCGGGTGATGAGACCAAGAAAAAGAGTCAATTTAAAGAGATTGCCAGGACTTTGGGGAGAAGTGGAAAACTTCAAACAGCTGGTTTTTGTGGGCAAACTGACTTTGGAGTCTCAGGTGGAAATGACGCACCCCCAGTGGTCAATATCACTGCCTAACAACACACTCGTATTACACTCTGCAGGACAAGAGACCTGTAGTGCTCTACAAGGGTAAGATCACTGTTACACTGTGTCCAGCTTTGGACACACATTACTGAGGAACGATAACAAGGCCTTGCAGACAGACAGACAGATCAGTAAAAACTGCATTAGAATGGGCCCAAGTAAAGAGAAGCTTTAGTTCTTAAGGGAGACACCAGGAAAACTGGGAAACTGTTCAGAAGGATCGAGACCGAAAGAAGACCTCTATGAAGTGACTGACAGCAAATCGGGGAAAAAAAATTATTTCCTCTGTTTGTTAAGTGAAATAAATACAAGGTTGGCAAAAAAATTGAAAGGTTAGAAAAAGATTCTTAAATGACGATTAAAAAAGGAGGACAAAGTATTTGCAAACATGATAAGGGGCAGGGGAATAGGACATGAGGATCAGAGACTAGACAGAACAGTATGAAGGGCTGAATGGCCTTTCCCTGACCTGCAACATCCAAACAAAGGGCTGCTTTTATAACCGGATCCAGCCAACTTTTACAAACAACTGTTAACAAAAGTCTGCTCAAATCAAAAGTGCCCAAGGATGGCACGGTGGCTCAGTGGTTAGCACTGCTGCCTCACAGCGCCAGATTCAAATTCAGCCTGGGGTGACTGTCTGTGTGGAGTTTGCACATTCTCAGTGTCTGCGTAGGATACCTCTGGATGCTCCGATTTCCTCCCACAGTCCAAGGACGTGCAGGGTAGGGTGGACTGGCCATGCTAAATTACCTCTAGTGTCTAAGGGTGTAGGTGGGTCAGCCATGGGAAGTGTAGGATGACAGGGTTAGGGTGGGGCAATGTGTCTGGGTGGGATGCTCTTCGGAGAGTTAGTGTGGACAGGTTGGGCCGAATGGGGGGATTCTAGGGACTTAATTTGAATAAGTTAAGGAAGTTGGTTAATTTGAAGAGATGAAAGAAACCTCCTGGAGTTTGAAACTGTCCAAGGGATGGAAGGAGAGTGCTGGTAGAATTACTGCCTCTTCATACCGTTTCTCTTTTGGGACCATCAACTGGTGATCGAGGTGGCTGCTTCAGGCTCACTTTGGAGCAGAAAGCTTGAAATTGAGGAAAACTCTCATTAGCAGAACAGTGAAGAGTGATGGGACCTACGCCACATGGAGACTTTGCCCCATTTTAAGCGATTGAGCCTCACTGAGCTGTAGCACCATACAGGCAAGCTGGAGGCCTAACAAAGTGAGCTTAGACAGAAGGTCAGCAGTGTGTTCAACTGTGGGAGGCAGCGTCAGGGAACCCAAAATAGTGAAGATAAAAGTAAGGCATTTTGGATGTTTGTCTTCTGAATTCAGTAGGTCTGGAGACAGGAACATTTTGAGTCACAGATGACGCTGAACGAGGCCTGCCGAGTTTCTCCAGCTGTTTTTACTGGTTGGGTTTTTGTCTGTCAGGGGCATTAAAATGTTGCAGAACCAAGGTGGGAAAGAAAAGGACAAGATACATTCAACCATAACCCTTGTGGATGGCAGAACAGGCTTGAGGACTTGAATAGCTGACCCCTAGTCCAATGTTACTAAATGAGCACAGTTGTGAAAAGTCATATTGAAGTCAAAACACAGATGCCACCAGGCCTACACTTTCTGTCTGTACTTCAAGCTTTGCCCTTACCTAACACACATTTGCACAGACCTTCCCACCGGTATTTTTTGGAAGCAGGAACCCTGGTGCAGCTTTCCTCTCGCATGCATGGGGGGGTGGTTGAGGCTAATCATAAAAGGCAGAGGATACAGGAAAGAAAGAGGCTTAATGCCCCTAAGGCCACCCCAGGCACGAGAAGCCAAGCTCGTGGATCGCTGTGGAATGTGAATACTGGATGAACAACAAAGGCTTCACAGTACTCGGTGATGAAACAGAACTTGTTAAGTCAAGTATGTCTCCTTTGAGCTATAACAAATAACACACTGTGCCCGTAGAGGAATGAGAACTGGTTAATTAATTTGGAAGAAAATGTGGAACGAATCGGCACCAAGGCAGCAGACAAGTAGTGCAGCGCACTGGTAATCACAAAGAGGATTAAAGCACAGTACAGTACTGCCCTCCTCATCCTGTCAATGATCTGCCAGCAATAATGTCTGGCAATGTTTTGTCAGAAGCAGAGGAGGTAGGTGAGCCAAACTATGCCAGTTTGCTCTCAGCTCCAGCTATATCACTTGGTGAACTGATGGTACAGGTAAAGGCCAAACAGCATACCTCCGAATCTCCCACTGACAGCTATTACGTGAAGGGATGCCGTCTGCAACAATTGCAGAATGTGACACCAATAAAAGGTGTGCCTTCAGAACTGAACTGCACTGCACTGATGAGCAAAGGTTTCCAGTGAGGGACAGCAGGGGAAGAAAAATCCACACGAAGTTTCACTGAGTCACTACATCTCAATCTGGAAGCAAGATGAAGAAAGTTCAGATATCAAACACCAGGAAGAGCTGGGCCAGGGTGCAGGGTACGGGGGCCTGGGGCAAGGGAGAGATAGAAAGGCAAAGACAATTTTTTGACCCGTTTAAATGTTAAATTTGTCCCAATTATTTGCTTTTAAATTTTAACAGAATTTAAAAATCTACTGTCTTTAGTGCCAGTTTAACATCAAGCCGTATTGCAGACAAGAATGACATTGTCAAGGCAGATCAACAGACAATAATCACATTTACTGTGTCCCAAATACACTGGGCACAATCACAATGTACTTAAGACAATGAATATCCTGCAACTCCCAGTCAAACATTTTACAACCTGTAAAGAAACAATGTCCTGAATGATCCAATAAACCTTTAAACAGCAAGTCGCAGCACAAGGGGTCTTGCTCTGTTACTGTGAACGTGGTTAAGACGTCTTTCGACAAAAGTCCCACGTAGGCCGAGTGGTTGAAGGGTTAAACTGCTGAAAGCTTGGGAAGGGGGAAGGACTTTGAGTAATGTAGTTTTATGGTGGGGTAGAAGGTGTGAAAGCCATCGGCATGAGCACTTTGAGTGAGAAGGGCTGAATATTTTCTGGACGTTCTGTGTTGAGACGTAAACAACCTGCAGAAGAGAGGGGTGGAGAGAGGCTGCAGAAGCTGCACTAGGGGCTCAGCACTACTGCAGGAGGGTACTGCACCTTACCTGGGAGTATAAACAAGGGTCTCTCTCCAAACTAAATATCAAAGTGATCTGCCCAGGTGTTAGACTGATCAAAGTCTCCCTCCATTTTAACCCAAATAATGTCACGTCCCCTGTGATGGAAGAATGGGCCTTTCCCTTGCCACTGGTCACTATTCCCAACTCATCCTAATTTCTCAATTTATCGTTACAAATCATTCATGAAATCCGAGCATTAAAAGCACCTTCTGCTGACCATCTGTAACCAGTATTCCTGCTGCCAACCCTGTCATTTCATTGAAAACTGTCAAAATGAAACATCACTCACCAGTAACGCACCATCTCTATTTGGCACGCTGCACACTTGCTTTTGCCGGTACTTCCCAAAACTCAGGCCATTTCCCTCCCTCCCCTCTCTACTGCAGAGAATACCCGGCCAATCATCAGCTAGCAGCATCACTGCATAGGAACACCAATCCCGTGCTCTCCTCCATCCCCTTCAGCATCAAACTGATTGCTTGGAAAGCTATGACTCACAGCCTTGTCTTTGCTGCTCTGCTCAACTCCTGCTATAACTCTCTTCCATCCCCCTCGCTCTTAAGATATCTTCTGCTGGCACAGCATTCTTCCCATCTGTGTCTCTTCCTCTGACCGTCTCATACAGTCCTGCATTCAATACCCTCCTTATAGTTCACGCTGCCATTCTGTTCCACACAACTCGTGGGCTCCCTTATCTGCATCCCCAGGTAACCCCCAATGCCATCAAACTCATCTAACATTTCACCCTCTTCCTCCTGCTCCCTTCAAAAGGCACTCTCTCGCCCCAAGCTAACTCCAGCAGAACCCTGCCACCCCCCCCATAATTCCAGTAGGTATCCTTTTGCCCCAGGCAAACTCCAGCAGATACCCTCTCGCCATCTCCCCCCTACCTCCAAAAGCAGGTATCCTCTTGCACCTCCCATCCTCCAGCTAACTCCAAGACACCTTCTCGCCTCCAGCTAATTCTAGCAGGTACCCTTTCCCACCCTCTCGAATCTAGAGGTTGCAAGCTGTTACACAGTAGCAAGTGACGGTGATTACTGGGTCAGGTCGGGGCTTTAGGTTCTGCAGGTCCTATTACATAGAGAGAGATATAAAGAGATATCCTCCACAGTACCTGAAGCGTGCTCGCCTGCTAGAGCCAGCAGCACCATTAGACACCACCGAGCCGTCGGCTTCTCGGAGCTCTGCCTGGCTTGCATCGGTGCAACGGGATCTCCGGACATGAATTTTAACTCTGTGCAGGTTGTAACATGTAGTGGCAGTATTATGCAAAGATTTACGACATCTCACCATTTCCCTCCCTTCAGCGCCGCCGGCTGCTGCTGTTGCTGCTGGTTTGATTGACACATGACCCAGGGATAAGAGCCTGGATTTCCCGGGAGGGCGGGGGCAAAGGGGGGGTGGACCGGCGGTGACGTCAGCCGCGCGCGAGCCGGCACCGGAAGTGCAGCCCGCCTCCACTTCCGACTGTCACCAGCACCCACGGCCCGGATGTCGAGGCGGACGCGGCACCTAAACACAGAGAGAGCGGCCAGTCACTAACACTCATCACCACGGCAACCTCAGTAGGCTGGGCAGCACATTCAGCCCAACAGGCCCCTTAGATTTCACCCGAACACCCCTTTCCCTGACTGCAACGTGGTTAGATGTCACTAAGTAGACGGCATTGCCCTAACCATGTGTGTGTTGTAAGGCCACTAGGTCCCCTTCCATCCTTATTAGGGGGAGCGCTCTCCTTGATTAGGATGGAAGGGGACCTAGAGGCCTTACAACACACAAATAGTTAAGGCATTGCCGTCTACTTCGTGGCATCTAACCTTGTTTTTCCATACCGAAGGCGATTCTGTTTGAATGGTTTTGAAACTGTTGTCAAATCAAATTTCCCTGACTGCAAGCTGTAGGAGACACAGGTTAAAAATTAAAGGGCAGGTCTAGAGCAAGGGGCCCCAGTTTAAAAGTAAGGGGTCTTCCTTTTAAGATGGAGATTAGATATTTTTCCGTGTGGTGTAAAGCTTGTGGAATTCTCTCTACTAGAAAACAGGGTCAGCAAGTTTATTCAAGGCTCGATAGATAGATTGTTGATAGACAGTGGAGTGGAGAGTTAAGGATACAACGAAAGGAAAGTGGGATTAAGGACACAATCTGATGATCATTACTTAGATCAGATGCAGGAATAGAGTCAAGGAGCTGAATGGCATGCTCCTGCTCCTTGGTGATATATTCCTAAGTGTTCTGTTCACCAGCTATCCTATGTGGAGTAAGTTACGTATGCTTGCCAGAGCAATGATGTCACAGAAAGAGGCCATTCAGTCAATCAAGTTCATGACAGCTTTCTGCAGAGCAATCTCGTCAGTCTCATTTCTGCTGATTTATTCCCTTGGCTCTGAAAGGTTAGTTCTCTCAAATATCCATGTAATTTCATTCCAAAATCATTCATTGTCTCAGTTTCCACCACTCTTAGCGGCAATGATTTCCAAGTCACGACCACTCGTTGCATAAAGTTTTTCCTCAACTCCCCCCTTCATTTCTTGCCCAAAAAAATTGTTACTTAGTCCTTGTTCCTTCAGCTAACAGGATAGGCATTTCTTTTTCTTCCTATCTAAGACCTGTCATAACTTGTACAATCTTTAAAATCTCCTTTGCTCCATGGAGAACAATCCAGTTTCTCCAGCCTAAGCATACAGCTAAAATCCATCACCCCGGAACCATTCTGATAAATCTCTCCTGCACCCTCTGAGAGGCACTCACATGCTTAAAATATAACTAAAATTGGCATAATTTGGCTTTCATTGACTGGGGAATTGAGTTTAAGAGCCGTGAGGTTATGCTGAAGCTCTATAAAACTCTGGATAGACCACACTTGGAATATTGTGTTCAGTTCTGGTCACCTCATTACAGGAAAGATGTGGAAGCTTTAGAGAGCGTGCAGAGATTTACCAGGATGCTGCCTGGACTGGAGGGCAGGTCTTCGGAGGAAAGGTTGAGGGAGCTAGGGCTTTTTTCATTGGACCGAAGGAGGATGAGAGGGGACTTGATAGAGGTTTACAAGATGACAAGAGGCATAAATACAGCGGATAGTCAGAGACTTTTTCCCAGGGTGGAAATGACTATTACAAGGGGACATAATTTTAAGGTGATTGGAGGAAGGTGTACGGGAAATGTCAGAGGTAGGTTCTTCTCACAGAGAGTGGTGGGTGTGTGGAATGCGCTGCCGGCAGTGGTAGTGGAATCAGATACTTTAGAGACTTTTAAGCGACTCTTGGATAGGCACATGGAGGATAGTAAAACGTAGGGTATGCAGGGTAGATTGATCTTAGTAGGATAATAGGTCGGCACAACATCGTGGACCGAAGAGCCTGTATTGTGCTGTACTGTTCTATGTTCTACAATATTTCAGTTAGACTCATAAAGATGTACAACATGGAAACAGACCCTTTGGCCCAACTTGTCCATGCTGACAAGATATTGTAGATAAATCAAGTCCCACTTGCCAGCATTTGGCCCATATCCCTCTAAACCCTTCCTATCCAGATGCCTTTTAAATGCTGTAGTTGAATTAGATAAATAAGGTTCTCAAATTCCTTGTTAAATTTATTGTATTTATATCGATTCCACAAGTGGAAACATTTTCTTTAATACTACCCCCAATCCGTTCATAATTATTACAGAGTGATAGAGTTACACAGCACAGAGACAGGAAACAGACCCTTAGATCAAACTTGTCCATGCCGACCAAGTTTCCCAAAACTAAACCAGTCCCACTTGCCTGCATTTGGCCCATATCCCTCTAAACCTTTACTATTCACGTACTTGTCCAAATATCTTTTAAATGTTGTAACTGTACCTGCATCTACCACTTCCTCTGGCAGTTCATTCCACATATGAATTCTCTGTGAAAAAGTTGCCCCTCAGGTCCCTTTTAAATTTTTCTCCTTTCACCTTAAAAATATGCCCCCTAGTTTTGAACTCTGTCACGCTAGGGAGAAGACTTTTGCAAGTCACCTTATGTATGCCCCTCATGATTTTATAAACCTCTAGAATAATTTGAAAGAGCTCAAAACAGATTTTCCCTTGTCCTTCCTTTTTCTGGAATCTTCAAATTTTCCTGATAGTTATATCGTCTCAGTTCTGGTATCATCCATGTAAATATTTTTTTTTTTTTACACTTTCTTAATGTTTCTACATCTAATGTTTTTCAAACAACAGGACAGTAACTCCAGGCTGTTGTTCATTGCTGAATTTTATAAGAATTAGTGTTGAGTAATTCATTCTGCTATATAAATCCCAAGAATGGCCTCCAGCTTATTTAAGTAGATTCTGAAAGAGGTAGTGGGGGAGACAACATTATTCCACCTGCATTTAAAAGGCATCTGGATAGGAAGGGTTTAGAGGGATATGCGCCAAATGCTGGCAAGTGGGACTTGATTTATCTACGATATCTTGTCAGTATGGACAAAAGTGTTCATTAATGACTCACAAAGTGCAAGTAACGTACACTGTTCAAATTAAGAACTCATGACCAAATACTACTTTAGATCACAGGTTCAAGAGGGTAGATATCAAAATGCGGTTAGTCCTAAGGTCAAAAGACTTCTGACTGCCCATTTTCAGAATTATGTGCAGCCGATAATCAAACTATTGTTTATTTGCATGTATTAGTTTAAACAAATAACTTGCTGGCACCTAATTTCTGATCTGGTGTTTGTGTAGAACACGTTTTCTACAAGGAATGGGCTTGTTTTTATTCTGAACTGAGATGATGTTTTGAGCTAAAAAAGGGGTCTTTGGGAGTGAATCTTAGTTCATGGGAGTGGGAGTGCACTTGAGAATTCATCTCAGCTTGTATAGAGCAGGTGGAATAATGTAGTCTCCACCACTACCTCTTTCATATTGGACTCTACAATTATTTAGTCAACAGTAATTTATATTTTCTCCCTACTAAGACCTCATGAATAGACACTTCTGCCTCTTTGTACTAGCTGCTCAGCTTCACTCACTTAAGACAATGCTCCCATTGATCGATAACCTCAAACGACACAAAACGCAGTATTCTTTAGCCTTCAGAAAAGCACTTTCAAACCTCAGATGGAAAATGATAATCAGCAGTGGAATCTGTGTGAGGCAGTGGAGATCGCTCTTATCCGCCCATTAAAAAGGCTGAGGAAGTTTGATTAGGGATGGGCAACAAATGCTGGTCTTGCCAGAAATGCCCACATCCCACTAAAAAAAAGAAAAAAAACTCAGTTTTGGTCTCATTCTAGTAAAACTAATTTTGTATCTTCTCTAGGATTCACAGTGCACAATTGAATCTATCCAATATTTTATATAACTAATATTTGTGTTTTTCAATTCTATTCCTCTATATGTTAACATCAATGCCTTCTTAAATGATTGCACTAAGGATTGATTGCAAAATTTGTTGACAACACAAAGACAGGTAAGAGACAATAATGTGAAGAGGACTCAAGGAGATTACAAAATAACCCAGGTAAATTGAGTGAGTGGGCAAAGATGTTGCAAACCAAGTATAATGTGGGAAAGTGTGAAATTGCTCATTTTGGCAGAAAGAATAAAAAAGAAGCACCTTATCTAACTGATGCAAGATTGTAGAGCTTGAGGTGCAGAGGGATCTGGATGTCCTTGGGCATCAGTCGCAAAAGGTTAGAATGCAGCTACAGCAAGATCATGAAAATAACTGATCCTAAAAATAGAGAAATTATGCTTCAGGCACTGGGAGACCACATCTGGAGTACTGTGCATCATATCAGTCCCCCTTTTTGTTTAAAGGAAAAGTGTAAAATGCATTGGAGGCAGTTCAGAGAGCTTTATTAAAATAAAATCTTGAATGGGAAGGTCGTCTTAGGTTGGATGGTTAGACTTGTATTCACTGGAGTTTAGAAGAGAAATTGGTAGCTTGACTAAAATGTATAAAATCTTGAAGGAGTCTCGACCAGGCAGATATGGAGGGTATATTTCCTCTCATGGGAGAATCTAGAACTTGGAATCACTGTTTAAAAATCATGGGTTGCCTATTTAAAGCAGACATGAGGCAGCAATTTCTCACTTAGAGGGTTGAGAGTCTTTGAAACTCTCTTCCTGAACAGTGGTGGAAGCAGACTCGAATATTTCTAAGGCAAAGGTAGATAGATTCTTGCTAAGCATGGGATAAAAGGTTATCATTAAAGGCAGAAATGTGGATTTGAGGTTACAATCAGATCAGCCATCTTACTGAATGGCCTACTGATTTGTAAGGATGTAATGGCTTTATGAACTTGCATCTCTGGTTCTAATGATCTTTGTACTGATTACCAATGCCCTTTTGTTTTTGCTACCTCATTTAAATACTTATTTTTCCAAGTGTACACTGCATCCATATTCTTCCCTATTCTTATTCTAAAACTAAGTTGGTACACTTCTGCCAACAACTCTCTACCCTAATTTTTACAGTCCATCTTCTCCATCCACCCAGTCTGTAACATTTGTTAAAATACAGCAATTAGTACCTTTCGATC